TTTATTTATTTATTTATTTATTTATTTATTTATTTATTTAATTTGACCAGAGAGGGAGAAAGAGAGAGAGAGAAAGCAATCTGCCAGGTCCAGGACTCAAACCTAAGTCGGCCATGTGGGAGTCCAGCGCCCTTAACCACACCACCACCTGCTGGCCCTTGCAAGAGTATTTTATTCCAGGGATAAAATGTATAATCCTGGGCCAGCAAATGGTATGGTATTTAAGGCACTGGACTCCCACATGGCCGACCACAGTTCAAGTCCTAGACCTGGCAGCTTGCCTTCTCACTTTCTCTGTCTCTCATCAAATTAAAAAAATAAATTACATTAAGTAAAGAATACTTTTTAAAAATGTATACTCCTTTAAATAAATATAGCAGTGAAGAAAAGAGATTATGTTTCAAAACAAAGTTAACCCACGTGTAAAAAAACAAGGAGAATGTGCCAGACTGTCTTATGATCAAGTATTTATAGTAAAGCTATTAATGGAATGGTCTCTACGGGGGAGTGGAGATTCTAAATATAAATGACAATTCTGAGACTTCCATGTGCTAATCCTTAATGGTGAAAACTTCAGTGCCGTTCTAAAGGTCAAAACAAAAGGTAAGTCTGTGGAATGTGATCAAACCTATTCTATGCTAAAACTGAAATGCTCCTTTAAAATTTTTTTGATATTGCCTAATATATTGGTTTTCACTAGTGCTATATCTGTTATGTTGTGATATGACAGTGCATGTATTCCTATAACATGATTATTTTCAGCATTTACTAAGTAAAATATTTTTAGCGTAAAATTCATTGTATGTAGGGAGGGAGTAGGAAATTTGGGGTAAATCATTGCGAAAAACTGAACAGCCAAGTCTAAAATAGATCGTTGTGAACATTTTCAGTGTTATGATGGTACTGACCTAAATCTTTTATGAAAGTCTGTTTTTGCTGAATAAGCTTTAAGTGAATAGCTATTCATGGGACTTTTAATTTATCTTGAATCTGTGGCAAGAAAGCTTTTTAAGTCTTTGGAGAAATTTCTAAGTGATTATTTCATATTTTAGATTTTGCATTTTCATTTCATATCCTATCAGTTTTCTAGTTTTTAAAATTTCACTTATAATTTTAAGCAGTTGATCATCTTTTCATAACTGGAAAAATATTTTTTAACTCATTCTGACTTTAAAGTAAATCTGTCTGAGTTACTTATTTCCAAACATCTAATTTATCTTGAATCTGTGGCAGAAAACAGTTTAAAGTCTTTGGAAAAACTTGTAAGTGAATATTTCATTTTCTAGATTTTGCATTTTCACTTACCCTATCAATTTTCTAGTTTTCTGAATTTCACTTATAATTTTTTTAAGCAGTTGACAATTTTTTCACAACTGGGAAATATTTTTTTAATTCATTCCGACTTTAAAGTAAACCTGTCTGAGTTTCTACATGGATAATCATACCAGTGATGAAGACATAGATGATGACTTCGATACCCAGTTCATCATTCAACAAAGTTTACAGGATATTTACAAACCAGGAACAGCTCAACATATACCTGAGGATGAGAGGTAATGTTTTTTTCCATTGGCAATACTGTAGTAAGTATTCAACAGTTGTGACTTACTAATAATATAACTCTAGTCCTTTGATAAAATAAAACAAAAAAAGGGAGAGAGGGTCAGGATACAAGGAACTGTCATTTAAATGTCTATAAGGTACAATCCATGACCAGACAGGAAACTTTGGAAGGAATTCAGAATTTAATTAGATAGTTAAAAAAAAAAATAGTTGAATGAAGTTGGCAGCAAATCTGGATGAGGAAAAGCAGACTGGATATCAGAAAGGAGAAATAAATGAGGCTATTAAGAGCTCCAGAAGAATTTGAATGCATCTGGTCTTTAGGGAGCTAAAGAAATGAATAAACCCATGAAGACACATAGAAAGTTATCCTCAGTCTAGTTGAGTAAGGAGGATGGAGTCCAGTCTTTAATCTGCTCAAGCCAAAAGTTGGAATTATATAAACTTAAACCTAAGGGAGACTAAACTGTGGATACAGACTTCTATATGATGACAGCAGAAAAGGACCAGGGGGTCCCTCAGTAGGATTTTTACTGAGTAGAATATTGAAATGTTTCAGAGAAATTGAAATATACTGTAGTTAGACATTTTGCTCATCAGATTTGCAGAAATTGTACTTAAGAAGGCTTGCTGGGGCCAACAGGAAGGCTTGCTGGGGCCAATAGGTGGCATGGTGGTTAAGGGTGCTGGATTCCCACATGGCCAACCACAGTTTGTGTCCTGGACCTGGCAGCTTGCTTTCTCACTCTCCCCTCCCCTACACTCTGTCCCTCTCTGGTCAAATTAAAATGAATAAAAAGTTAAGTATTAAAAAAAAAAAAGACTTGCTGAGTTGGAGTCACCACTAGAAGGAATTAGAAAATTGGAATATGCTTGTGACACATGAAATAATGGCCCAACCCAAAGATACCCACATTCTAATTCCTGTCACCTGTGAATATACACAGGTGGGAAGTAAGGCTATTATAGATCAAATTAAGGTTGCTAATCACCTCACTTTAAGATAGGGAGAGTAGGGTGGGGCCAGTAGATGGATGGTATGGTAGTTAAGGCACTGGATTCCCACATGGCTGACTATGGTTTGAGTCCTGGATCTGGTTAGTTGAAAATCACGCTGGGGGTATATGCATGTGTGCCCAAAATGCCAGGAGGAGAAGAGATTATGGCATGGCCATCTCCCCTGGGGAGTGACTTCTCACTTTCCTCTCACCATCTCTCTATCTGTCTCTGGCAAGTGCACAAACCCTATAATGAAATTAAAATAAATAAATAAATAAAACACAGAGAGAGAGAGAGAGCATGCTAGGGAGAGAAGGGTCAGCAGATGGCATGGTGGTTAACATGCTAGATTCCATGTGGCCAACTCTGCAGTTTGAGTCTTGGACCTGGCAGCTTGAAAAACACTGCAGGCACATTTGTGCATGTACCCAAAATCCCAAGAGAAGGGATTGTGGTATGGCCAACCCTCCTGAAGATGATCTCCCACTTTCCCTCTCTCTCTCCATGAGTGCACATATCCAATAGCAAAAATCTGAAGAAGAAAGAAAAAAGATAGGGAGAGTATTCTGGATAATCCAGGTGGACTAGCGTGATCATAAGAGTTCTTGAAAACAAAAGAGGGATGTAGAAGAGAGAAAACCTGAGAGATGGCAGGGTGAGAACTTAGCCCAACATTGCCAGTTTTGAAGATGGAGGAAGTGTCCACAAGCCAAGCTGTGTGGGAGGCCAACAGAAACTGGAAACAACAGAAAAGCATCCTCTCTTCTAGAGCCTCCAGAAGGAACATAGTCCTGAGGACACCTTGCTTTTAGTTCAGTGAGACCTGTTCTGGACTTCTGAATTGCTGAACTGTAGGATAATACATTTATATGGTTTTAAGCCAGTAAGTGTATGATAATTTCTTATAGCAGCTTTAGAAAACGAATACAATACTAAGTCTATAGATACACTTTGTAATGTTTAAGATAATTGCCCAAACGTAAGCAGAACAGATTGTCTCAGGGAAATTATTCTCTTCAACCTGGGTTCATTGAATAACGCAAGAAAGTGGAAAAGTGACCATCCTTATTTACTAGATTTTAAAATAATACAATAAATGCCTCAATAATAATAGTTAACTTTAAAATTACCTTAAAATTGCTACTAGTAGACTAACTGGTTGCATGGTGGTTAAGGTTGCTGGATCCACATGACCTGTTGTGTGGCTTAAGTCCCAGACCTGGTGGCATGAAAAACACACAGGGAACATATGTACACCTGCCCAAAATCTTGAAAGGAGGGAGAGATGGAAGAGAAAGGATCATGGCATAACCATCTCCTGTGGGGGGGGTTTTCTCACTTTATCTCTCTGGCCAAGTGTGTGTGCCCTCTGGCAAAAAAAAAATTTTTTTAATTGCTAATAACATTTTTAAGCACAAATTTTGACCTTGACCATTTTTTAAAACTCTTATCATAATTTACTTTTTTATTTTATTTTATTTGGAGAGGTTTTTTGCTATAGGGCGTGTGCACTTGCCAGAAAGACAGAAAGAGACAGAGAGATAGAAAGCGAGAAATCACACCCCAGGGGGGATGGCCACACCACAGTCCCTTCTCCTCCATTCTCCTCTCGGGATCTTGGGCACACACACACACATGCACCCGGTGAGAGTTTAAGCCACCTGGTCTGGGACTCGAGCGCCTTGTGCTGGGACTAGAACCACAGTCGGCTACATGGGAGTCCAGCGAATTAGCCATTAGGCTAACTGCTGGTCCCCATGATTTACTATTTTAAAAAATAATTTTTGGGGCCAGCAAGTGGCATGATAGTTAAGGGTGCTGGACTCCCATGTGACCAACCACAGTTTGAGTTCCAGATCTGGCGGCTTTCTCTCTCTCTTTTTCTCTGTTCCTCTCTAGTCAAATTAAAATAAATAAATAAAAGGATAAATAAAGTTAAATTGAAGGAAAATTATTATTTTATTTAAATTATTATTTTTTAATAGTAATTTTTGCTGAAATCATGGACATGGCAGAGTAGCCATTAAATTTTTTACTACGTGAGAGTAGGATATCTCAGTCTTAAACAAATTTGAGTCAATCCAACAGCTGTTAAGTGAGAGTATACTGCAGTCTGGGCTCACAGCCCTTGCCCTAAAGAAGCTAACAGTCCTGGGACCAGCAGTTAGCGTAATGGCTATGTCGCTGGACTCCCACATAGTCGATATCGATTCGAGTCCCGGACCCGGTGGCTTAAACTCACGCCAGGCGCGTGTGCGTGCGTGCGTGCCCAAGATCCCAAGAGGAGAATGGAGGAGAAGGGATTGCAGCGTGGCCATCCACCCTGGGGGGTGATTTCTTGCTTTCTATCTCTCTGTCTCTCTCTGTCTGGCAAGCGCACGCACCCTATAGCAAAAACCTCTCCAAAAAAAGAAAAAAAAAATAAAGAAGCTAACAGTCCAGTGAGAGAAGACAAGTGTCCAAAAGAAGTTTCCCTTGAACATGTGAAGAGCCATGCTAAGTTGTACAGAGAGAATTTCTAGGAAGCCTGTCATGGTCTCATATGAAAGTTCATCCCCAGTTAACTATGACCGTTTTCTCCCTTTCCCTTTTGTGTATAATTAACAGCCGGTTGTGGAATTACATGCATTTGTTTTCCTATGCAGCTTCCATTCCTTCTTGAGTGCTGACTATAAGAAGATAGTTGAAACAATAGAGACAGTTAAGTACTCTTCCTATTTCATCACCTTGGATCTGTGGTAAGATAAGGATGGTGACAACTAGCTGCCTTTCCCCTATAAGCTCAGGAAGCTTAGAAGTGGTTTTTTTCAAGTGGTAAACACTACAGGGGTCCACAGCTGATAGTCCAGAGTCTGCTGTGGCCTTTTCTGGGACAAAACAATTTGGCACAACTTGGAAAAAGCTGTTGGGTTTCTCAATAGACAGAGCTGCCTTTCTGTATGTTATAGCATTTGGGGTCATTTGCAGGACTAGGTGATGTGGAACCCTAGATGACAGGCCTTACCGTCTGTCCTATGCCATTTCAATTTGTCTTTCATAAAAGGTGGTGCTAGGGGCCAGCAGATGGCATAATGGTTATGTCACTGGACTCCCGCATGGCCAACCGTGGTTCAAGTCCCAGACCTGGTGGCTTGAAACTCAGGCCAGGTGCGTGTGCCCAGGATCCCAGGAAGAGAATGGAGGAGAAGGGATTGTTGCCTCCACCAAATCGCTGGACCGCAATTTGAGTCCTGGATCTGGTGGCTTAAACTCAAGCCGGGCACGTGTGCGTGCGTGCCCAAGATCCCGAGAGGAAAATGGAGGAGAAGGGATTGCGGCGTGACCATCCTCCCTGGGGAGTGATTTTTCGCTTTCTGTCTCTCTGTCTCTCTCAGTCTGTTTGGCGAGTGCACGCGCCCTATAGCAAAAACCTCTCAAAAAAAAAAAAAAAGAATTCTGTTGTCTCATGCAGTGACTTTGGTGGTGGGACTCATAAGCAGTATGGGCTGCCTTATCTGTGTGTCAAATGTGAATCTTCTCTCATCTGACTTGTTAATAGGCAAGGAAGACATGTTGTCACACTTAACCAAGTGCCATTCTGCTTTTGATGAAGCAGATGGCATAGGATGGGTTCCTCTGCACAAGGCAGCAGTGCAACTAAATAAGAACATTTTGGAAATAACCCTGAAAGGTAAACTCATTTTCATTCTTCTTGATGCTCCTGAGATACACATGTAAAATTCATGTCTGTGTCTTAATCTATGTAATATTATAAATTTATTTCAGCTTCGAATCCTAATGTATGGGAGCAAACCACTCATGATGGTGAAACGCCACTTTTTTTGGCTGTCAGCAACTGCCTCTTAGAAAATGCCAGTTTTCTGCTTCTCAATGGCTGCAATCCGAATGTTAAGAATTTCGAAGGCAATTCTCCTCTTCTTACAGGTAAATGAATACCTCATCTCTGGAGAGGAGTCTATAGCTCCGAGTATCCTTCATGTCCACAGTTTCAAAGGCCACTCTTAGTGCATAGTTGCAGCACGGTCACTCTGGTCCTAACTGTCCGGACAGAGGTATCTGTGAGGTGACCTGATGCAAAATCTCTGCTCAATTAGGAGCAGCTCATTTTGCTTAGTACTTCGATCAAACCAGTTAATCCTGCTTTGAGACATCTGAGGGGAACATAATTACCTCATGGAGCATGGGTGAAGGGTAGGCAGCCAAAACGGGAGGATTGGTGGAAACTCTTAAGGAACAGGGAGTCAGATCTCCAGATACTTCTCCCATTCCACCATGCTGAGACAGATTCCTCCAGCCAGCAAATTCTCGAGGTTTAGTCTCTGGATAGCTTAAATAGAATGTCTTGGACAATGATGAAACTCCAGAGGAATTAAACACAGGCTGAGACCACCCAGCTCTCCTTCCCAGGACCCCAGAAAGCTGGCAGCCAGGTCTTGACTCTCTAGGAAGAGGCTTTTCCTGGAGAATCTGACCAGCCCAGAAGAAAGTTCTAAACATGGTGATACTGGGGAATGCCCCAACAAGTGGTTCAAACATATGGACCTATGGTTAAGCCCTATAGTTGACAAGCTCCACCATTTAGATTCTCAATTAGCTTTTTCAGTCTCCAACTTTTTTTTTTTTTTTGAGAGGTTTTTGCCTTAGGTTCCATGTGCTTGCCAGATAGAGAGACAGAGACAGTGAGAGGGAAAACGTGAAATCACACCCCAGGGGGATGGCCATGCCATAAATCCTTTCTCTTCCATTCTCCTCCTAGGATCTTGGCCATGCAGGTACACGCACCCAGCATGAGTTTCAAGGCACTGGGCCTGGGACTCGAACTGCAGTCAGCCATGTGGGAATTGGAGTTGAGCAACATAACCGCTATGCCATCTGCTGGCCCAGTCCTCAATTCTTACTCATAAGCAGATAGCCAAGGACTATCTGGAGGAAAGCAACTTGGAGGAACAGATTATGTATGACAAACAATATGTAAAGAAAAAATACAATTTCCCTAGAGAAATGAATGAAATAACAGGATACTACAATGCTAGAAGATGAAGTTTAGGAAAGAAAAACCTGTATCAAAATAAAAACCAAAGACTGAGAGGCTGGCTCCATGGTATAGCAATAACACATGGCTCAAGAGAAATTGGATCTCACACAGCAACTGCAGTTTGAATACTGGGCTTGGTCTACCTGAAACACAAGAGGCGACATGCAGGTGCCCAAGATCTAATGGACTGGAGCACTGGAGAGAGGATCACAGTATGGCCAGGGCCCGTGGAGGGAGCTCATCTCTCTCTCTCTCTCTGTCATGTGTGCACACATGCACTTTTATCATGAGTAAAGGGAAGATAAATTAAGAAATTAAATAAGACAAAAGTAAAGATTAAGAGCATTAACTGAGAACTGCTGACATTGGAATTTCATGTCTCTTTGTGGTTTGTCCCAAGATGACCTGTCTAAAAGCTTTGCATTGGGACCAGCAGTTAGTGTAATGGCTATGTTGCTGGACTCCCATGTAGAAAACCGCAGTTCAAGTCCTAGACCTAGCGGCTTAAACTCACACCGGGCGCGTGTGCGTGTGTGCCCAAGATCCCAAGAGGAGAATGGAGGAGAAGGGATTGCGGCATGGCCATCCCCCCGGGGGGTGATTTCTCGCTTTCTGTCTCTCTGTCTGGCGAACAATCACGCCCTATAGCAAAAAAACCTCTCCCAAAAAAAAGCAAAAATAAAAAAATAAAAGCTTTGCATTTGTAGGAAAAAAAAAAAAAAAAACACTGAGCAGACAGTCTTATCTGAGAGAACAGCTGCTAAAGAGCCATGCGGCATAATATAGTGAAAAGAATTCTGGGTCAGTTCTAACCTCCCTAAACCTCAGTTTTCTTGACTATAAGAAAGGGATCATTTATCTTGTGTGTACAGAAGTCACATATGTAAAAAAACCTTCAAGCCATGAAATCTGCCATAATGGTGATAGTGGAAAGAGCTACTTTTCCTTTCTAGCTTCTGCCTCTCTACCTGGCAGGTCAGACGGCTCCATTTCTGTGGCACCTCCAGAGCGTCTCCCTGTTGATAAATCATGGAAAATTCTGGGTTAAGTAAGGCGAATCAAGTTCATTGCCAGATTTTCCAGAGAATTCAATATACCAGAGTACAAAACAAATCTTGAAGAGGGTGACAGAATATGTAGTGTTCTCAAACCTCTTATTGTTTTTGGTTTTTAACTACAGAATAATTTTCTTCCGAGAAAATCTCAGGGGCCACTCTACATAACACTTTGGGAGACAGGCCCAAACCATCATTTTCTAAGAGCTCAGCTACTCATACAAACATTCATATGAGGGGACTTCAAAATGTATGTGGCGGGGCTGGTAGGTGGCTTAGTGGTGAAGGCACTGGACTCCCACATGGCCAACCGTGGTTTAAGTCCCGGACCTGGCAGCTTGCTTTCTCACTTCTCTCTAGTCAAATTTTAAAATATAATAATAAATATGATTAAAATAATTCTTTTTTAAAGACGTACATGGAGAGGCTAGACAGAAAGAGAGATGAAAAGTGACACATCACTCCTCAGGGAGGATAGCCAGGCTACAATCCCTTCTCCTCCATGCTCCTTTTGGGATTTTGGGCATGCACACACATGTGCCGAGGGTGATTTCAAGCTGCCAGGTGCAGAGCTCAAACCACAATCAGCCATGTGGGAGTTAGTGCCTTAACAATACTTTATCTCCCACTATATGCCTTATTTTACTATCTGTTCCCTAAACACAGCATGCTGGGGCATATGGATAGGTAGGAAGAGCTCCTTAAGGCTGGAGGACACTAGCTGGCATGGTCTGACCTGAAATTGCTGAACATAAATTCCCACTTAATTTCCAATTTCCCAGCTGTTCTACATGACTCCTACGACATGGCCGCCTTGCTGATCAGTCACGGAGCAGATGTCAATCTGCGGTGTGCCAACGAGAGGACAGCGCTCCATGAGGCAGCCAAATTGGGCAGACAGGACATGGTGAAGCTGATGCTGGCTTCTGGGGCACACCCAGACCCACGGAGCTCCTACGGCTTCACTCCTCTTGCTCTTGCTGCCCAAGGTGGACACACTGAAATCATGGAGCTTTTACTGCAGAAAGGCAAGCATTTTTATATGTTCAGCACAATACCTAGGGGTGAATAGTTAGCAGTTTAATTCTAATATGGATGTCTGGTGAAATTACGTGTTAACGTTGGCTCCTGAAAAATCTAAGACAGAGATTGAATTTATTTCATGTAATACAATTTCCTTAAAATTACTAGGATGGGGAACCAGCAGTTAGCATAATGGCTATGTCACTGGACTCACATCCCGGACCTGGTGGCTTAAAACTCATGCCGGGTGCGTATGTGTGCGTGCCCAAGATCCTGAGAGGAGAATAGAGGAGAAGGGATTGCGGCGTGACCATCCCCACTGGGGGGTGATTTCTCGCTTTCTGTCTCTCTGTCTCTCTCTGTCTGTCTGGCGAGTGCATGCACCCTATAGCAAAAAAAAAAAACAACAAAAAAACAAACAAAAAAAAACTAGGATGTAGGGACCAGCAGGTGGCATAATGACTATGTCACTGGACTCCCATGTAGTCAACCACGGTTCAAGCCCTGGACCCCGTGGCTTAAACTCACGCCAGTGCATATGCATGCGTGCCCAAGATCCCGAGAGGAGAATGGAGGAGAAGGGATTGTGGCATGGCCACACATTTCCCCAGGGGGGTGGGTGATTTCTTGCTTTCCGTCTCTCTGTTTCTCTCTGTCTTTATGGTGAGCGCACACACCCTATTAACAAAAACTTCTATAAAAAAAAAAAAATTACTAGGGTGTAAGTTACTCTTTTATTTATTGTTCTTCTACTAACAGGATTCTAAGGCGATAGTTTTCTTTTTTAACTTTTAGGTTGTCCTTTTCCAGAATCTTTGATTTTCTGATGGGAGTCGAACGACATAGCCATTATCCCAACTGCTGGTCCCTACATCCTAGTAATTTTCAATGAAAACGACTCCAGTGTTGGGACCAGCAGATGGTGTAATGGTTACATCACTGGACTCCTATACATAGCGGACCACGGTTTGAGCCCTGGGCCCTATGGCTCAAAACTTATTGCTGGGTGCATATGTGTGCATACCCAAAATTCTGAGAGGACAATGGAAAAGGGATTGTGGCATGGCCATTTCCCTGAAGGATGATTTCTCGCTTTCTGTCTCTCTATCTCTCGTTCTGTCTCTCCAGGGAGGGCCTGCACCCTATACCAAAAATATCTTTCTCTCAAAAAAAAAAAAAAAAAAAAAATCCAACCAAAACCCAAAACAATGCCAGTGTCTTTTACTATGAACAGTCCCCTAAGAACAAGTTAGAACAACTGTCTTTTTCCACTAAAACACCATTGGATGGCATGGTGATACAGTTTAATAGGTTAGTATCCTGTGCCACTATATGTTAGTATGTTATGAGTTAAATGGAAGTTTGAGATTCACTAGAAATAAGAGCACTTTTTACAAATTTATTTTTAATGTTATTTTCAAGTTCCAAACAATGCAAAATTACTCTGAAACCCAACTTACTAGTAATTTAGAAACGGTACCTTTTTTTCTCAACTGTTTTATAAGTTGCCTGAGAACAGAGGGTACGTATTTTGATTCTTAGTGCTTTGTTAGAGTGGATACTTAAAAACTTCTCTTTGGTGGTGGCAGCGGTTATATATTTTTCAAATCATTTAAGCAACAGAGTAGAAAAGAGTTTTTGCATAACAAGATTCTTTTTCCTCTTAGGAGCTAATGCTCACGGTCAGGCCTCTGATTCGTCTTCCATCTTACTTGAAGCCGCTAGTGGAGGAAATCCTGACTCTGTGACTCTCTTGCTAGAGTATGGAGCGGATGCCAACATCCCTAAGAATTCAGGCCACCTGCCCATTCATGTGGCAGCTGACAGAGGCCACCTATTGTAAGTTCAGTCATTACTGTAAGTAAGAAAACGTTTTAGCTTTCTTTTTTTGGAGGAAATTCTAGGAACTTTATATTCTTGTCTCTGATTCTACAATCATAACAGCCCTTTAAAGATAAACTACCAACCATCTAGGAAGTGGTAAAGCCAGGCATCCTCTGTAGCCACTGAGGAGTCACACAACTGTTTTATTAGCAGCACAAATGACTGGATGGATTCTGAATTTTATAACCTAGACAATAACTCTATTCAATTTTACTTGGTATCTAAGCTTTTGGGTAAATGAATTATACTTTTTTTGTTAGGAGTTCTAAATGCCTCCTACTACTAACACCACTCAGTGTTAGTATACAGTGATCATACACACTTAATGCTACATCTTAACAAAAACGATTTTGAAATGCACTTCGAAATTTTTTCTCAGGGCTCTAAAGATGTTGGTTCCAGTGACGGACCTTGCTGCCATTAAGAAGAGTGGGATCAGTCCAGTTCACTGTGCGGCAGCAAGTGCACACCCCCAGTGCCTGGAACTTCTCATCCAGGCTGGATTTGATGTGAATTTCATGCTAGATCCGAGAATCCGCAAACACTATGACGACCAAAGGAAGTCGGCTTTGTATTTTGCTGTATCAAATGGTGACCTCTCTTCAGTTAAGCTGCTTCTGAGTGCTGGAGCTCTTCCCAATCAGGACCCGGTTAACTGCCTGCAGATAGCCCTCCGAATGGGCAACTACGAGCTGATAAGTCTGCTGCTAAGGCATGGGGCCAACGTCAATTACTTCTGCAGGGTTAACCCTTTACATTTCCCATCAGCACTGCAGTATACGCTGAAAGATGAAGTCATGCTCAGAATGCTGTTGAATTATGGGTATGACACAGAGCGATGCTTTGATTGTCCTCATGGAGACAAAGTTCATCCCTTCTATACTTTTGAAGGCTGGACATCAACAGTTATCAAAGATACCATGGTAAGTCCACAATAGTGGTTGTATTACCTTAGCCTAGTGGTAGCCTGAAACTACAGCAACAGACTCCAGCAGGTCTCTCCAGAAGCTCATAGTAGAAAGATTCATATATGATAAATACATGATAAAATAATAATATATCAGTAGTGGCGAGAGATTTTTTTTTTATGTGGGGGGAGAGGTTTTTGCCATAGGGCGCGTGGGCTCACCAGAGAGACAGAGAGACAGAAAGCGAGAAATTACCCCCTAGGGGGGATGGCCACACCACAACCCCTTCTCCTCCACTCTCCTCTCAGGATCTTGGGCATGCACGGACATGTGCCTGGCGTGAGTTTAAGCCACCAGGTCTGGGACTTGAACTGTGGTGGACTACATGGAAGTCCAGCAACGTAGCCATTACACCAGTTGCCGGTCCCAAGGTGGCGAGATATTAAGGCACTGGACTCCTAGATGGCCAACCCTAGTTTGAGACCCGGACCTGGTAGTTTGCTTTCTCATTTTCCTTGTCTCTTTCTCTCTCTCTCTCTGGTGAGCATAAGTGTCCTATTGCAAATTTTTAAAATACTAATAATAAATTAAGTATTTTTTTAAAAAAGTAATATATTAGAAACAGATAAATAATAATAAAGAGATGTAAAAGGTACAGAAACAATTTAGAGGAAAACGTGACCTGACTCTACCTAGCCCTGTCAGGGAGTTTCATAAATGAAGCAACACCTGAGCTAAGTTTTAAAGAATGAATAGTCTTATTTTCCAGTTATGCTTTCTTTCAGTGACTTATCTAAAATCTTTCTGTGTTCCTGATACCTGTACCTACAGGTTGGTGGCTTTCTCTTGTAGCTCCAACATTTGGTTAAACGGTCTCCTTTGGTCACTTGATTAAAAAAAAAAAAACAAACCTGATAGTGACCATGCCCTCCTTTTTGAGACATTTTTCTCTTGGCTTTTATCATACCAGTTTCCTAGTTTTCCCTAACCTAAACAGTCACTGTTTTCCCCAACTTGAGCACTTCTGCAGCTTTTCAAATGGCTGCCACTATTCAGGTCTCATGTCAAGTCACCTCCCCAAAAAGACCCTTTCTTGTCCACCTTATCTGAAGTAGGTTCACTTCCTTGTTCCCTTACAAAGCTATTCATTCCTTTTACAGCATTTATCACTTTCTGAGATTCTAATTTTATCATTTTATTCATTGTGTCTCTCCCACAAATACAAAAACATAAGCTCTTGTTCATCACTCTCCTCAACTTACAGATCTGTGCTTAGCACTTAGTTGATGTTGTATAAATGCTTGAATTCGTATTAGCAAAATCTGAAAACAGAAATGAAATAATGAGGCACGAGCCTCTGCGGTCTGGTGATTAAGAAAACTGGATCTCACGTGACAGACTGAAGTTTGAATCCCAGCCCCAACGGCATGAAAAATATGCTAGCCACACGTGTGTGCACCCCAAATCCTGACAGGATGAAGTAGAAAAGGGACTGTGGTGTTACCATTCCCTGTTGTGGGGTGCTTTCTCTCTCTGCCTCTCTCCTTTTTGGTGAGTGCAGATGCCTTCTGGCAAATAAATAAATAATGCACTAGATAAAGTACTTTGAATCAATTCTGAAAAGGGAAAGGCTAAATACTCTTCAGCTGATTACTGTAGAACTTACTTTCTATATCAGAAATTTGGCAGTTAGGCATTTATCAGCTTGTAGTATTTGCTGACTTGTACAGTATTACCTGACTTCTTATCTGGGCATCGTGTCTAAGAGCATGTCAGTTAAAGGCAGAAACAGTCATGTTTTCGTGATTCACAGATGAGACTCACCCACGTCCCAGCCAGCAGGAAGGCAGGAGAAAACAGGACACATCTTGTGTTTCTTCTAAACACTAGATAGAGCGTGTGCACGCGCATGTGCATGAATGAGAAAGAGAACACTGACGACAGGGTCTTGTCATGCTGCCATCCCCTCCCCTCCAGTTCTCCAGCTCCCCAGGATCCTGAGCACCCTCCTCAGGGATATCTAACATGTTTTCTGGCTAACCAAGGATCAGAACCCCTGTTCAGTGGTATGGCTTCTAGCTTTATAGGAAACTTGCATTACAGCTGTGCCACAGCAGCTAAGCCTACCCTGAATTTTTTAAAAGGCATTCCAGAAATTGTTCACATTTCCACTTATACCTCATTGGCTGTAACAGTTACCATACCTCACTGCAAATGAAGCTGCAAAGGTAATCTTTATGCTAAATAGACAGCGAAGTGAAGAACCAAAGGGGTAAAGGATATTATGTATCAGTCTGTCACACCCTCATTACATCTTATATACTTCTGAAGACAGTAGCAAATATTCTTCCAAATGTTAGTACTAAGAGATTTCTTGCTCAACAGTTTCCTAATGAGGAAGCTGCAACCTCAGGCCCTGACTCTGAGTTTAGTATTATTTTGCTTACTATGCTAAACCAAAGATACTTAATGCTTTTCATTTACTTTCATAGTTCTGATTTTTCCCCCCTAAGTTCTGTGAAGTAATAACTTTGTCATGGCTACAACACCTCTCTGGAAAAGTTGTACGAGTAATGCTGGATTACGTTGATCAAGTTCGGATCTGTTCAAAGTTGAAAGCTGTGCTCCAAAATCAGGGCCTCTGGCCAGAAATACATTTTATCTTGAGTGAGTATGTTTCTTGTAGAATGCTCTTACCAAAATACTTATTGTAGTCTAATTTCTTTTTTGGAACACTATTCTCTTCTGGTTAAAAGCTTGACCTAACAGAACTAGAAAACTACTGTTCTTATTCTTTAAAATATTACTGTTTATAACTGTACTTATATTTGTGTTTATTACCATTTACAGTAGATAAAATCTGTTAGGTAATTACTCATGTAGGCAGGTAATACTTTTCTCCCAATTCAACTAAATCATGACTATGAAGAAATGCTATAGTCAAAGGAATTAAAAAGTTATGAAATGGTAATAAAAACAGGGATGAAAAAAAGCCAAGACCTAAATCTGTAAAGGCTATCAAATGCCCTTCTCCAAACCAAATTTTTTCAAAGTAGCGCTTAAGTCAAATTAAGGATTTCTTCCATCTCATTTTCCCGTGGATGATGATCTTCAGGTTTTTGCCATAGGGTGTGTGCATTCATGAGACAGACAGAAGGAAAGTGAGAAGTCACCCCCAGTGAGGATGGCCACATCATAATCACTTGTCCTTCAGTGTTCTCAGGATTTTGGGCACGCCTAGCATGATTTTTAAGCTACTGGGCCTGGGACTCAAACCATGGTTGGCCATGAGAAAGTCCAGTGCCTTAACCACCAAGCCATCTGCTAGCCTAGTGATCAGTTTTTATCTAGCCCCTGAGAGAGAGGATTTGGAGTGGGCTGGCTAATACATACAGATTTAAGGACTTTAGGCCTCACAGGCCAAATCAGCAATTGACGCCCGTCTTTTGGACTCCCACTTGATGTGGCTCTGAAACCATCTACAAGGTTTGCAATGAAAACTGAAAAGCTATTTCCCTATGGACCTTCATCTAGTCACAAAATAAAAATCTTGATGGCCTTAATATCAAATATATGTGTTAACTAAACCCTAAAATCACTAAAAACTAATAATTATTTCCATTTGGATAATGTGCCTATTTCTTTAATTTTAGCAAACCCTCGCTCCCTAAAACATTTGTGCCGCCTGAAGATCCGAAAGTGTATGGGACGCTTACATCTGCGCTGCCCGGTCTTCATGTCATTTCTTCCGCTACCCAATCGTCTAAAAGCATATGTCCTTTACAAAGAATATGACCTTTACGAACAAGGAATTTTTACAGGAACCTGGTGATCAAACTATTCTGGAAGAAAAGGTATTCTTTATCTGTACTTCTTAAATTTTGACTTACGTATGATTTATATATTTTTTGCTTTGCCCAGCAGCTAAATCGGTTTATGTTTTAATACAGTTGCTCTAAAAATAGCCTCTCAGCATATAAATGACTAGCATCCTAAAAGGCAGTTAAAACCCAAACAGGATAAATTTCAATGAACTGAAATACACCATTTCTCATCAGCATTTATCTCATATTCAGTGTATGAATACAGTTTCTGTGAGCCCAAAGTAATAGATGTCACTTCTAACAATCCAAGAGAGGGACCAGCAGTTAGTGTAATGGCTATGTCGCTGGACTCCCACGTAGTCGACGACGGTTCGCATCCTGGACCCGGTGGCTTAAGACTCATGCTGGGCACGTATGTGGGCGTGCCCAAGATCCTGAGAGGAGAATGGAGGAGAAGGGATTGTGGTGTGGCCATCCCCCCTGGGGGGTGATTTCTCTTTCTGTTTCTCTGTCTGTCTGGCGAGCGTACGTGCCCTATAGCAAAAACCTCTTTAAAAAAATCCAAGATAATTCTCCACAGTAATCTTTTTTTATAGAGAAGTATATACGTCTCTCAGTGGACACAATAGAACGGATCCTCATACATGACCTAGAATTTAGCTGTTTTTATGCAAAAGTCTCAATGTCAGCTTAGTGTCTGATGCTATTTCCTTGTACAGTCAAGTACAAAGGTAAGATATTTTTTAAGTAGCTGAAATAGAACCTTCAGTTTGGAATTTCATTATTAATGGGAAACATGTGCCCCTTTCTTTCCACAAAACCCTGAGAATGCCTACTGGTTTATTGGTGAATGCAATCACTTTAATGGAAATCAAGTGTTTTCAAATGGATGATGACTTACAGTCCACTGCAGCCTCAGTATGTATATATGTTTAACACAGTACAGCCCCTTTGAGGGAAAATGATGCAATATTATTTCCTTCTGAAGGAGGGATTCAAGGATACACAGACAACTCCAAGAAGCACAGACTTAAAGTTATCTTCAGTTTTATACATTAAAAAAATTTGCAAAACTAGCTGACATTAATAGCTTTTATTATTTTTTTAGAATTATTTATTTTTAAATTTATTTATTATTATTACCTTTTTACAAGAGTTTTGTCAGAGAAAGACAGAGAGAGAGGACCGCCAAGTCCAGGACTTGAACTACAGCGCTTTAACCACCACACCACCCGTTGGCCCCAATAGCTTTCATTTTTTTAATCAAATTGTATGTGCTTATTAGCAAGTGGAAATTACATATATATGTCAATATACAAATACATTCTAGGATGTACATGCACTTATATCAGATAAATTATATAATCCTAAAGTTAATTTAATCTACTCCTTGAAACTTCTAAAAGTATATATACTTTTAGAAAAGGACATGATGAGCCAGCTGGTGGCATGGTGGTTAAGGCAGCTGGACCCCACAGCCAACCGTGAAGTCTGAGTCTGAGACCTGGCAGCTTGAAAAGCATGCCAGACATGTTTGTGTCCAAAATCCCAAGAGGGGAATAGAGAAGAAGAGATTGTAGCGTGGCCATCCCCCAGTGGGAGTGCTTTCTCACTTTCCCTCTTTCTCTAATGAGTGCATGCATCCTATAGTAAAAACAAAAAAGAAAAAGAAAAAAAAGAACAGAACTTGGCAAGTGCTATAAGAAATTATAAAGAGCACATGAAATAAATATGCATTAGTATTACAGCTCCAGGTCCAAGCTACTTCAGCTGGTATACACAACAACCTGATACTTTAATGAGAGAAATTTCTTTGAGTAGGACCAAATATTGAGTTGTCAGAAAAGTCATGACTATTTTTGTTTTTCTATACAAAAATGTGGCATGACTTTTCCGACAACCTAATAGTAGCAACAAGTATACATTGTTGTAGTAAGTCTGTTAATTACTGAAGTCATCCTTTTTTGATAAAAGAAAAGTCGCTAGAACTGAATTAGTTTGCATCTATATAACAACCTTTTCCTAATAAGTGACATCTTTCATCTTACCTATTGCAGAATTGTGGTGGGGCTAGATATGTAACTATAGTGTCATAATAAACTAAGAAAGAGTTCAGTTGTGTTACAAACATCATTTGAAATTACTTTGAGAAATAAAATTCAGATTACATATCAAATATTTCATACAAAAAAGGCTGTACAAAAATCATGGACTTTATTATATATTTAAAAAAAACTAGTAACAACATATTTCCTGAAGCCTTGTAAGCAAATATTTTGACAAAATGGAAAAAAAAAATTCTCCACCCCACATGTATACCACAGTCACATAAAATTTAGTTCTCCAAATCAAATTCTAAAGGGAAATGTTGTATGACTTTCAATCGTACACTACATAATTAGTAGTATTAGAGAAATAAGAATGAACCAATTCATTTACATTACAAAATCACCAAATATACAAAGCAATGTTGCACACTAGTTATAATGTAATCCCTAGTTCTCATATCAACTAAGTAAATTACATACATGTGCAGCCACAAAAGATTTGTTTAAAAGTATAATATGGTTCCAGTTTCAAATCTTTACATATTATTAGCTAATACGGAAGAACAAAATCTCAAAGAATAAGCCAAATTTGCTAAAAATGAAATGAGGGCTTGTACAATTAATGTGCTTAAATATTGAAAGTGCAATCTGAATGCTAGGCTTCCTAGGTAAAAACCAATGTGAGTATTTTCATTTTATTCAGGTGGTAGGAGGTTTTGCAATACACTAGCTCTTAGGGTTTGTCAGCATTTATAAGATTAAAATTTTAAATAACTGTGATCCTATCTATATATCTTTCTCCAAATTAACTCAGATGCCTTTATGACATTAGATTACATGTCTTACCTATGTTGTGCACACCCTCCTGTCCTTTACCCAAGCATAATGCAAACAACTTTACTAGATTGTGGAGGCTGAGAATTGTTTTGAAATTATTGATTCCAGAAGTGGCAACAACTAGACAAACTTTGGGGACTCTGTTTATGGTAACAATTTCAGTCCCTTGCTAGCCAGTTTTCAAAATCCTAAAAGGGAGAAGGATGAACTACTTTCTTATCTATTGACTTAATTACCATATAGTTCCAGAAGTACTATCCACATAGGTAGCAGAGTGCATAGCATACTTAGGCAGGCTTAATTTCTTCCCTTTTAAAAAAGCAGTTTTGTTAAATTTCTAAAAACCGTTAAGTATAAACAAATCTGAGAAAAGATATCCTAAAATTTAACCCAGTCACCATCAAAGCATCCCAGAGCTGGAAGGGATTTCAATAGAAGATACCAGAACAATATCAACTTTAACATTAGACAGGAACTCTTTCAATTCTTTAAGTTCTAAATGAAAAGAAGAACTTAATAAAGTTGCTGCTTAAATATTTAGGGTAATGGAAGAGTTCACACAATTCATCTAAAATTGTTAAATATGAACAGTAATGACTTCTATTTGGCATTGGAATGCATTTTGGTCTGACCTATGGACACGGGTATGTTATGAAAATTCCTAAGGAAACACGACATAAAGGAAGCACAAGTCTGCCAGCATCCCTAAGTCTGTCAGTACCCTAACTCTTGTCTACTTTGACCCCGAGTACTAACAAAGTAATGAGCACTACGCAGCTGTGCCGAGCACCAGCATAGTATAACTGCTTCCTGGTGATGACCACCTTCCTTGCCGGGTGACAGGTTTCATCTAAACCAATGAGGTTACAATTTACAGTTAAAACAAAAAACTTAATGAAACAGCTTACCATCTCAAACAGTCTTAAAAGCAAGATTTGCTAAGACTAATTAAGTGTTAACCACAGAAAAAAATCTCAACTTCAACAAAAGGAATGATAGACTATTGTGAAAGCATTCCCTTTAATATACACAAAATAAACTTTTTATCAAAAAGTATTCCATAAATTTAGACTCTGTTACTACATGTTTTGGTAACATAAGGCTTCAAAGAGTATAAAATAATGATTACTCCCATTTGGCACATAAAAAAAAAGTATTATGATTCTATATATAGTTATCCCATTCCTACAGAAAACAATGTACATACGTGGTATGAAACACTACCTATACTTCGAGAACTAAAACAGATGCCATTTCTAATTCAGAACTAAGAAGAACATATTTTGTATCGAATAACAAAAGGTTTTCCCTTGTGAAATTAGTAGTACTAGTGGCTAACCTCTTGAATATTTATCAATATACTATGTAAGATATTTGTAAACTATATTTAACTCATGTGAGTGTGTATGTGTGTATATATATATACACACACACACACATATATATATACTTTTTCATGTGAAACAAATGAACATAATTTCTACCAGCGATGTTAAAAATCTGATTAAAGAAAAAATCAAGTTTTGATATAGAAGATAGGCAGAAGAGGAATGTCATTTTAACCTTGGCACCAGGCTAAAATTCTTCCTTGCTGACTTCTCTTATACCAGACATTCAATTTCTTCTCAATCTTTCATGGAGTTAGACTTTTACTCACTTGAAGAATAGAAGTATTTACAATAATTAGTGCAAATTATCCCATTCTCATATATTAGTTATTTGCCTTTGTAGATATAAAGTGGTGATGCAGTACTTTATCAAAATATGGGATTATGAAAATACTAGGAGTATCAATCTGAATTTTAAAAGGTTACATTTTTCTAAACTAAACTCTGGGAATTTTCACTTTAAGCAAGAAACATGATCATAGCACATCTTTTGAAATGTCACTTGGTTTTCAATAGAAATTATTTCACACAATGCAGAAAATACAATGTATCATCCTATAACAATATCTTTACATGTCAATCCTAATCTAAATGTATTTGAACCTAAAACAAAAAATCTCTTTATAAATTCCATAATCTTATTTTGACCATTACTGCTGTACAATAGTCATTGAAGTTCCAACCTGAGAACTAAGAATATGATAATAAAATGCCAAGGGCTGTATCAATCCTGAACTGAAGACACTTCAATTCCTTTCCTACTGGCATCAGGTGCAGTCCATAGAGAAAAGTGAGCAATCCAAGAGAGTGCCCTGAAATCAATAGTACCTCCCACCACAATTTGAAATCTTACATCTACGTTATAAAAGTTCTATTGCACATTTAACATTGTTAAAATATTCAGTTGAATGCTTCCTTACTACCAGCAAAATGTTCCTAGTAAATGAGAGGAAGCATATTTGTGAATATCTGACTCTTAAGAATAAGTTATTTTTTATGGTCAAAGCCAGTTACAATCCAAGATTAAAAAAAAGTTTGCAATAATCAGAGGAAGAATTGCTTGAGCTAATATAAATTCCTCAGCATTCTACCCCAGGGAGATGAAGTTTCTTTTGGACATCTGGAATTTTAATGTAATGCATAGCATATTATTTTTAAGAAAAAAAAATGCAAACCCAAGTCATCGAGTTCAATCCTTTTGTTTGTTTGTTTAAATGAAACTAAAACAAGGAAATATAAAGCCTAGTTTCCTTCTTATTTCAACATAGTTGTTACCTTGTGCCATTTCACCACAGAAATTGTCATATTTGAGGTTGGGGGAGGGGATAGCAATCAAAAAGCAAGGGTAAGTTAAATCTTACATCTACGTTATAAAAGTTCTATTGCACATTTAACATTGTTAAAATATTCAGTTGAATGCTTCCTTACTACCAGCAAAATGTTCCTAGTAAATGAGAGGAAGCATATTTGTGAATATCTGACTCTTAAGAATAAGTTATTTTTTATGGTCAAAGCCAGTTACAATCCAAGATTAAAAAAAAGTTTGCAATAATCAGAGGAAGAATTGCTTGAGCTAATATAAATTCCTCAGCATTCTACCCCAGGGAGATGAAGTTTCTTTTGGACATCTGGAATTTTAATGTAATGCATAGCATATTATTTTTAAGAAAAAAAAATGCAAACCCAAGTCATCGAGTTCAATCCTTTTGTTTGTTTGTTTAAATGAAACTAAAACAAGGAAATATAAAGCCTAGTTTCCTTCTTATTTCAACATAGTTGTTACCTTGTGCCATTTCACCACAGAAATTGTCATATTTGAGGTTGGGGGAGGGGATAGCAATCAAAAAGCAAGGGTAAGTTTTATGCTTCTGACTCTCTCTTCTTCCCTTCTTCTCCCAAATCACTCTCTTCTGACTGGCTGCTGCTAAGGACAACAAACTGCCCTTCACCACTAGTTTGGTTTGGTCTATTGGAAGCAGCTATCAACCGACTCTGTTCTTCCAAGTCCTAAAGGAAAAGAAAGAAAAGAAAATTAACTGTCTGCAGTCAAATGGAATACTATGCAGCTAAAATACATACTCAAGAGTCATGTCAACACTTGAGTTATGATATGTGTGCACAATTCTGGCTACACGATGAAAAGAAAGGCTATGCCCAGACAATGTGACACAAAGTCAATTTTGGCACCATTCTCAAAATCTCATAAAAGTCAGCATTGAAACTAAAATCTCTTTTTTATGGCCAACAAAAAAATAAAGGTTATCACCCTCTTACTCTACACCATAGTAAAAGACTCATAATGAATCACTCTATACCCCTTCCCCTTCTCTAGTACTCTCCTCTTTCCTTGTCCAATTCATCTTTTTTTTTTTTTTTTTTTTTTTTGAGAGAGAGAGATTTTTGCTACAGGTCACGTGCACTTGCCAGAGAAAGAGAGAGACAGAAAGCGAAAAAGCCCCCCCCGGGGGGACCGGCCACACCACAACCCCTTCTCCTCCATTCTCCTATTGGGATTTTGAGCATGCAGACATACATGTGTCCTGCATGAGTTTTAAATTGCAGGGTCTAGGACGCAAACTGTGGTCAACTACTTGGGAGTCCAGTGACGCCATCTGCTGGTCCCCTTTTCTAATTCATCTTATCTTGCTAAATCAGGTGAAACTTTCCCTCAGACTAGCATTATCCAGGGAGCCAGACTTCAGTGTCATCTTTGCCACTTCCTTCTTTGTCCAAATATCTCATCCACTGCTGGTTGCTACTGATCTTTCTCATTAAGCATTTGACAGGAGTCTCCTTGTCTATTCCTACTAACAGTGCCACAACCCATAATAGGCTGTTACAATCTTATGGATCACCTGTTTTTGTTTTTGAGAAGTTTTTGCTATAGGGCGCGTGTGCTCACCAGACAGAGATGGAGAGATAGAAAGCGAGAAATCACCCCCCAGAGGGGATGTCCACGCTGCAATCCCTTCTCCTCCATTCTCCTCTTGGGCACGCACGCACACGTGCCCGGCGTGAGTTTTAAGCCACCGGGTCCGGGACTCGAACCACGGTCAACTACGTGGGAGTCCAGCAACATAGCCATTACGCTAACTGCTGGTCCCCGTGGATCACCTGTTTTAAACAGTTCACAGAAACTGTATATTGAGAAAAAAAAATGAGCCTGGATTTGAAAATTTTTTTTTAACACCAAAATGAACTACTTTAAGTACATTTTTCTAATGAACCTTTTGAAATTCCCTTACCAGCAGAGGGTAGTATGGTGCTCACCAATGGCAATGAAGTCTCTATAGCCTCTCAAAAGAACTACTGGGTCGTTGGAAAAGTCATGTGTGTTTCTCTATGCAAAAAATGCAACATGATTTTTTCCTACGACCCAATACTTTGACAGTCTTCACTGTAATAGGAAAGTGCTGGTATGTTTGCTGAACAGCAAGTTATGCTACATGTCAATATATAACTAATGTAAACATCTTATCAGAAGACACATGTTCCCCTTTTCTGCTCTGCTATGAATTATCTGGTTATGAAGCAGTTAAGCAAAGACCTTCATTTGAAAATTCAAATCTGAAAGTCACTGTGCTGAATTAAGTCTTCACAAACACCACGTAAACAGAAGTGCCAGACATTAGGCCTGCATACCTTTTCAATCTGTTTTTGTTTACTGAGTTCTTTCTGTTGCTTCTCTTTCACTCTCTCTATTTCTTTTTGTTTCTCTGTTGCCCTACGGTCCTAAAGAACAGATGAATAAAACTAATGAAATGAATATGAAGTAACTGTAAACTTTAGACATTTCAATTACTATCACCTTTTGTAACCTTTAGTTTTTTTTTTTTAACATGAGAAAGTAAACCAATAGTTGTTACTTCTATGGCAGACATTTATCCAAATTCTAAATGCTATATCAGCAGTAGTATCCATCATTAACCTAGTTTATCAAAATCACTTAATTTTCTTGCTAAAATCAGAGTTTATATAATACGAGTCAACACTGATGAAAAAATGACACATCTCAGTTTCTTACCAGTTCAGCATGCAAAGCTATCTGTTTTGCCAGGCCAACAGAATCACAAATCTAAAGAGAAAAAGTATAAAAAAAACTCGGACAGTTCTTCTATCAAAGCAAAAATTCCCAAGTACCCAAATGGCTGATATAGTTTTATAATGACATAAGACACTGCTTCAAAAAACTCTGATTTAAGATTACTCCCAAACCAAGCCTTTTATGTTTGCCTCAGCTTGTGAGCTTCCACTGCTGGCTTTTGTCTCTATATACACTTTTCTTTTAAACTGCTAGAGTGCACGTGCACTCACTGGGAAGAGAAAATGTGAAGGTACTCCCCATGAGGGATGATCAAGTCGCAATCCCTTCTCTGTCTCTACTTTCGGGATTTTGGACATGCATGCATGTGTGTTTCTCAAGCAAGCAGGTCTGGGACTTGCACTGTGCCACTGGCTATGTGGGATCCATCTGCCTTAACTGCCACACCACTGGCTGCCCCCCCACACCCCGCACACTTCTCATTATCTCCAATTTGTCAGTGAAATAGCAAAGCCTACCAAGGATGAAGCAAGCAGCTGTTGATGCTACTCTAAGCTGAAGACATCTGAAAATGGCAGATTATGGAAATATATTAATATTCCATTCCTGGGGTAAGCTAAAGAGGCTAGAAGACTGCGACAGTATCAGTGGCCAGGACGACATGGGTTTGTGAAGTTGGAAGGCCCAACCCATCAGCTCGTCTCTCTTCAGTGCAACCTGCTTTAGTCAAGCAGCTCTGTCACACCAGGTGGCATCTGGGAGGTTTTCCCAGTCATCGTAGTCAGAACTACAACTGTATGTATTTTACAAAAGAAATATTTTGAAAAACCCTGTACCTTTTCCCCCTCATTGTTTGATTCAAATATATAGCAGACTGATGACAGATTACTCTCACTTTTTCCTCCTGATGTCCGAAGAACGAATCCAAAAAGTCGCTTATTTTCCTGGTGTGTAGCGTACAAAACTACATAGGGTAATGGAAACTGCCTCGGGAAATATCAGAAGCAAACATGAGATCTTTAAACTGTTACAACAGTACTCACATAGGACAAACTCATATGCTGAATTCTAAAATATCATAAATAGAATTAAAATATCATAAATAATATTAAATTTTTTAAAACAGATATCCAAGAACAAATAATGCCATATTTGGTTTCAACTACTTAGCAGAACAAGAGATTGTTGAATACTGCATGTTTTTTATTAGTCATTGACACATTTTACAAAGTCAAATGCAACAACAAAAATGATCTACTTGATTAGCTATTTCAAAACAGATACTTTTAAAACAAACTCAGTCGTGTTCACCTTTTAAGTCCTATTGTCAATTTCTTTGGTGTATGATGTATATTCCCTATCTAAAGGATAAGACTAAATATCACGCCAGAGTGTGTTGACTCTTAAGTTATATGGAATGTCTGACTGTAACTTTTTGGAAATGGCCAGACTTATATAGCAGCCTAAAGACAAATCATAATTGATAGATACTACCATACCTGGATATATAGGATCAGGATTATTACCCAATTGTAAAATGTATATCTGCACAAAAAAGATTTAAAGTAAAACTTTCATCATACAGAACTCACCGTGAGCCTTGTAACTTGTGTCTGGGGATCAATTAACCTATAATAATAATTAAAAAATTGAAAGACAAATTTTAACTAGACAAATTTTGCAAATGTTTTTTCCTACAGTTTTTTGGGTTTTTTTTAGAGAGGACGCTACTACTTACTTTAAACAATCACAAGTGACTAATAAATGTGATTCTGTCATACGGAAGATGTTATGGATGGCCCGGGCAGCTAAGATTTGGCGCATTGTTTCATAAACAACATCTGGATGGTCATCTGATTTCACCTCCATAGAACCAAGGAATCGGACAATAAATAACTGATGAAGAATAGAATCTATAACAGAACAAAGTACATTATGTATTTTTTTTTAATGTTTATTTCCTTTGAGAGAGAAAGAAAAAAGACAGGAACCTGGACAGTGTCTTCGCACCATGATCCTCTCCCTAGCTCTGTAGCCAGCCAGAATTATGGGCACACTTAGTATGTTCAGGTAGACTTTGGAATGTGAACCGGGGCCTGCCTCTGTGGCTTCCAGCATTGCACAGCAGTACCCCTACTGCCTGTGCCACTGCAGCAGGCCACACGTTCTGTATTCTAAAATACATTTAAATTTCTTTTCCAAAAGAATGAAGTATATTGCCTCCTCTTAGATGTTTCAGTGAAAAAGTCAAGCTAAAGGAGGTACATTATTTTAAAATAGCTCCTAACTACAGTCCTCTGTTTATAGGAAAATTAAGGTCTCAAATTCACATAGCGAAAAGTAATGCTTTAGGGTCTGGCAGGTGGTCTGGCAGGTGGTGTGCTGGATTCCTACATGGCCGACTGCAGTTTAAGTCCTGGATCTGGTGGCTTGCTTTCCCGCTCTCTCTCTGTTTCTGGACAAATTAAAATAATAATAATAACAACAACAAATGGAATTAAATAACTAAATCTTAAAAAAAGTAATGCTTTAACAATAGGTGGTCCTGGGCAAGAAGAAGTCCTTGTCTTATAGCTTTTCTGCAAGTTTAAAATTCTATCAAATAAAAAGCTACAGAAAAAATAAAAACTAAAAGTTATGCTCCAGTACCAGAAGTAAAACACTGGCTATTAGGTAAAGCTTAAGGAATATGCATTCAGAATTTGACTAGGAGGTCAAAGGTACATGGTAGTCTATAATTCTATGTAAATGCAAATATCTTAGGTCAGGTTAAATTCTGTTATTTTAAGTATTCTTTAAGAAATAAAGAAATTAGGGGCCAGAAGGTGGTGTTGGGATGCTGGACTCCCACATGGTTGACCATGGTCTGAGTCCTGGACCTGGAGGCTTGCCTTCTCACTTTCTCTCTCTCTCTGGTCAAATTAAAAAGAAAATAATAATAATTAAATAAGCATAAATAAAGTAATTTTTTTTTAATTTTAAAAATTTTGAAGGTAACATTAAAACTCAGAATAGGGAGTCAGCAGGTGATGAGAGGTTAAGCCACTGTATCCAACATGGCCGACTAAGCAGTTCAAGTCCCAGACCCAGTGGCTTGAAACTCACACCAGGTGCATGTGTGTGTCAAATCTCCTGTGGGCCAACTGGTGGCATGGTGGTTAAGGTGTTAGACACTCCCATATGGCCAACCATGGTTTGAGTCCTCAACCTGGTGGCTTGCCTTCTCACTTTCCCTCTGTCTCTGTCTACCTCTGGTCAAATTAAATAAATAAATAATCCTTTTAAAAAATTAGCCTAATAGCAAAGACAAATATTATATAAATAATAGTCTTCATACAGTTTACTGTTGAGTAGTAGTTCTAAGATATATAAATACTGCATATATACTGTTTTACCTTCAGTTTCAGATTTTGTAACTCCTCCAGATTCTCCAAATGGGTTTGTGCGCCTGAAAAGTGTAGGAAAGAAGATGAACAGATGGTCAGTTACCATAAGCCACATGGAAGCAATCTACTTATTGAAACTAGAGTTAAAAACTAGGAGACAGGACTAGCTCTATAACTCAGCAATTTAGAGAGCAGGAACCCACATGGTCAACTACAGTTCGACCCCAGTCCTTGTGGCTTGAAAAACATGCCAGACATATGTGTGTGCAAGCCCAAGATCCTGGCTGGAAGGAGGAGTGGAGGAAAAAAGATTGCAGCTTGACCACACCCCACTGGACAGTGCTTTCTCTCTCTCCATCCCCCTCCCCACCCCTGCAAGCACATATACCCTCTGGCAAGAAAAATAAATATGATTACAAAAGCCAAAAAAATTGTAAAGAAAAAGATAGGAGTCACACAAAACCTTGTTCAATACATTTTTTAAAAGCTATAAAATGCTCCATCCTATTAAGAAGTATTACTGATGGTGCCGGCAAGTGGAGTGGTGGTTAAGGGCGCTGGACTCCCACATGGCTGACCACAGTTTGAATCTCAGACCTGGTGGCTTATTGTTTCACTTTCTCTTTCTTTCTCTCTCTCACTTCGGTAAGAGACGTTGGGGGGGGGGAAGAAAGGAAGGGAAGGTGGGAGGGAGGGAGGGAAAGGAAAGGACTGGAAGGAAAGTGAAGGAACAGAACAGGACAGGATGGGAAAGGAAGGGACAGGAAGGGAAGGGAAGGGGAAAGGGAACCGAAGGGGGAAGGGAGGAGAAGGGAGGGGAAGGTGGAGAGGAAGGAGGAAGGAAAGAAAGGAGGGAAGGAAGGAAAGAAGGAACGAAAGAGAGGAGAGAGAAAGTTAAATAAAATAATCCCCCCCAAAAAGAAGCATTACTGATAACCAGATTACTCTGATAAAGGCCTCTGCCCTCACACACCGAGTTAACAGGTTGAACTCAATCTTAATGCATTTTTAGAAGACATGAATGGGTTGGGAGTTAACCACACACCATAAAAATCAACATCATAATAAACTATATTGCAAAAGCTCTTCAATTTAAAGAAGGTAACGCAAATGAACAGTGATTTAGTGCCAATATCAGCTGCTTAAAGAATGCCAGGGATTTCCTGGTATTGTAAAAGTTTCTTTTTAAGTTCTCTAAGGGCAAGGGAACTATTCAGTTAAACATTTTCTAGTTTCAAACTGTCTCTCTCCAGGTATAAGTAATAAGAAAAGCTTCCATCATGAAATTGAACTGGAGCTGGAAGTCACCTCCCTCCTTTGTGTGCTCAGCTCACAGCACAGTCACAATGAAGGAACAAGGTACAATTCAAAGTAGGTTTTGGGAACAGAGAGCCAGGTGGTTCTAAAATAGCACTGGCATTAAGGTAACAGGAAACTGGGGCCAGTAGGTGGTATGGTGGTAAAGACACTGGATTTCCACATGGCTGGCCATGGTTTGTGTCCTGGATCCAGTGGCTTGAAAATAATGCTGTGTGCATGCGAGTGCATGTCCAAAAATCCCAAGAGGAAAATGGAGAAAGGGTTGTGGCACTGGCCATCCCCCCTGAGAGATGATGTCTCACTTTATCTTTCTCTCTGTGTCTGTCTCCGGTGAGTACAAGTGCCCTATGACAAAACCTAAAAAAAAAAAGATACTAGGAAATTGATCTCTTTAATATATGTCTGACCTATTATGTCAAATTGTCAAGTGTTAAATAATAGAAGGTTTTTTTTAATCAAAAAATATCTAAGTAAATTCAATAATTCCATAAAGTTGTCAAGGATGAAGACTCCTTTCCTCTCTTTTTTATTTTTATTTTTGACTTCCCACCTTTTAAAAAAAAAAGTTTAATCAACTAATGAGGATTGCATATATTTATGGTATGGTATAATTTCTATGATCAAATGTAAATTACTAGGCTAGCAGAAGGCCTGGAGGTTAGGATGGCTAGATTTCCTACATGGCCATCTGAGTTGTTCAAGTTCCAGACCTGACGACTTGAAAATCATGCCAGGTGTATGTGTGTGTGCCCAAATCCTAAGAGCAGAATGGAAGAGAAGCGACTACAGTGTAGCCATCCCCTGGGGGGATTTTTCACTTTCCCCTTCTCTCTTTCTCCCTCTGGTGAATATATATTCCCTATAGCAAAAACAAAAACAACAGAAATGTAAATTACTTTTTTCTTGGTCACAGCCATGTATATCTAAATTAACATATTACTGATAAATTAATTAGGTATCCAAACTCCTTAATACATTACTTGCTTTAGGTCACATTTCCTTCAACCACAACCGGAGAAAAACTTAACTGTGTCGACAAAAATATTCATTACATAAACCAAAGATTACTCAGTAGTAACTTATAGTAGTACTATTTTAATAACTTCCTTAAGATTCTTATTCTGATACAAGATAGTATCTTCAAATAAACCTATAGTACATATATTAACCTCAAGAATTTTTTTTTTTAGATTTTTTTTTTTTGCCATTAGGGTGTATGTGCTTTCCAGAGAGAGACAAAGAGAGGGACAGTGAGGAATCCCCCCTCCAGGGAAATGGCCACACCATAATCCCTTCTCCTCCAGTCTCCTCTTGGGATTTTGGACACACACTCACAGGTACCCAGTGTGTTTTTCAACCACCAGGTCCAGACCTTGAACTGCAGAGTCAGCCATGTGGGGTCCAGAGCCTTAACCACCACAGCCCTTGCTGACCCACAAAAACAAACAAGCAAACAAACAAAAAACCACTTTTTTAAAAACATTTACTATCTGGCTATTTTATCAAGGTCTATTTTTATTTATCCCAAGTATGAGACAGAAAAAGCACCCCCAGCAGCATACTGAGCCACAATCTACGCCCAGCCTTGCCAGCCCCAGCTCGTGGAAAAGCACACGTCCAAGGTACACAGGGGTCTGCAGACACAGAATGGGAACCTGCCCAAGTGGGTCAGCTTGGCAGAGCATGGTGTTTCACTGGTGCTTCACCATCTGGCCCCACCCTCATGAATTTTAAAAACGCCATCATGACCTAAAAATAGAACTGTCAACTTTCTTTTGCAGTTTTTGAGAAAATGCCCAAGAAGAAGGCAGACTAATAAGCAATTCATAATTAAATATTTTTTTAATTAAATTATCTTAACTCCTTTAATTGAGGCAGAAGTCAAAAAGAAAACATGCATAATTCTTCCCTATCAAAAGTACAACACAGCTGATGTCCATGGTGTGTAACAAAGGACTCTCAAACGTAGAAATGGAACTATGACACACTATAACACAAAGTCCCTGTGATGCCATCACCCACCTGCCTCCCTGGCCAGAGGCTTTTGCCTGGCCAGGCTGATCTTCAGACACTGGAGAGATTATGTCAAACTGTATCGGGGTGTCTGGAGCAACCAGAGAATCTAGAGAGAGGGCAGCCAAATTTGTGGACTCGGATCCTAAGGATCCTGAACTGCTGGTTCGAGCTGTCGGCGGCCGAGTTTGTCTAAGCACAAAAGAAACCAAGATAGCATTGCATTTAGTTTCCTCTTTTGGAATCAAACACTATGAACAATGAAAATATAGTATTATAAGTCAATAAGAAGAGTAAAACAAATTTTAATAAAAATAAAATCCCAAATCCTACTTATTTGTTTTATAAAGAGAGATTTTTGCTATAGTGTGCATGTGCTTGCCAAAGAGACAGAAAGTGAGAAACCACCCCCCCAGGGTGGATGGTCATGCTGCAGTCCCTTCTCTGTTCTCCTCTTGGGATTTTGGGCATGCAAGCACAAATGCCCAGTATTAATTTGTTTTACTATTTATTTTTTAAGTATTACCTCCTTTACTTTATTCATCATTATTGTTATTTTTAATTTGACCAGAATGAGACACAGACAGAGATACAAAAGCGAGAAAGCAAGTTGCCAGGTCCAGGACTTGAATTGTGGTCAGCCATGCGGGAGTCTAGTGCCATTAATCACCGTGCCACCTGCTGTCCCCAAGTTTATTTTTTTTAAGCTGCCAGTTCCGGGACTCAAACCATGGTCAACTATCTTGGAGTCCAGTGATGTAACCATTATGCTATCTGCTGGTCCCCCTAACTACTTAATAGTTGACTTCTTTCTTTCTAATTATTAAACTAAAAATATAAATCCTCTCTCTCTCTCCCTCTCTCTCTCTCTCTCTCTGGTGAGAACATGCACCCTCTGGTAATAAAATATATATTTTATTTAGAAACACTGGGAAAATTTGAAATCATTAGTTACTTAGCACCTTTACTCATAATAGAACCATACTGAAAATACATTTTTCTCTGATGTCCAGTAAACTATTCAATACTAATATAAGTGGTCCTGCTAAAATCAAAGTGCTCCCTAACAGTTTAAGTAGCACATGATAGGTCTTTAACTCAGTGTGGTAACTCACCCTGCTGGCCGCAGGCTCTCATGCCTCTGCTGGAAAGATGGGGAAGGAGTGACAGCCTCCAGAGCTGACTGATTTACTCGTGCAGCAGTTTCCTATTTTGATAGATTTTTAAAAAGGACTATTAGAAGAGTAAGAAAACTAAAAGTTTAAATATAACTCTTTAAATAGTCAGAATATTTCTGGCCATTTAATACAAATTAGAGATTTAAATACAAGTTAGAGCTACTAACAGCAAAGGAAACAATAAACAGGATGAGGAGACAATCAACAGAATGGGAGAAAATATCTGCAAGCTATGCTTCAGGTAAGGGACTGATAATCATAATATATAGGGAACTCAAGCAGCTTGCCAACAAAAAATTGAATAATCCAATTTAAAGATGTGCAAATGAGCTGAAGAGACAACCTTCTAAGATACACAAATGGCTAAAATGTATATGAAAAAAGTGTTCAACATTTCTTATTATAAGGGAAATGCAGATCAAAACTACAATGAGGTATCACTTAACCCAGTCAGAATGGCTACGAGCAAAAAAAAAAAAAGACAAGTGCTTGCGAGGCTATGATGAAAAAGCCTCCTACACTGTTGGTGGGAATGCAAATTGGTAGTCACTGTGGGAAACAATGTGGAGGTTCCTCAAAAACCTACAAATAGAATTATCCTATTCTCAGTGATTCCACTCCTTGGTATTTACCCAAAGAACAAGACAGCACTTAGTCAGAGGGACACTTCACTTCCATGTTTATTGCAGCATTATTCACAATCACAAAGACATGGAGTTAGCATAAGTGCCAAAGAACTAATGACTAGGTTGAAAAATTGTGGCATGTGTACACTATATAGAATACTATTCCGCCGTAAGGAACAATGACACTGCCATCTGACTCAAAGTGGCTGACTATGGAAGATTTCTGCTAAGAAAAGTCAGCCAGACTTTGAAAGACACTGTACATCCTCACACAATATATACTGAATTCTGCTCTCTTGCAGAAATTGAAAGATCCAAAGATATGCTAGTAAGAAAGGTTAAGTATAGATATCAGAGTCTGTAAGAGAGGAGAGTGGATGATAGAAGTAGATAAGAGGGGCAAAGGGAAGAAACATTTAACAGACCCAAGAATGTAAAGTTCTATTCTTGATTTGATTGTTAAAAATAAATAAAATTTAAAAATACAAAAAAATTATAACTACTAATGACATACTTGTTTCTAAAGTTACATAATTTCACATAATGTTATCAACTTGTTTCTTCTTGCTTCCTTTAGTCTAGGAAAAAAGTCTAGTTTTCCTACTCATATACATAATAGAAAAATGTTTTTTCCTTAAATTTCTAGCTACTAGATACTTTCAATCAAGGATTTTATTGTTAGTGCCTGGCACGGTGCCTGGCACAGCGGACACTCAATACATACGTTGAATAAAGAAAATTTACAAGGAATATGAAATATTCGCAAAATATATGTTAGTATAAAACTGTGATGATAAAATTTTCATAATTTTCCAGAATGTATTTATGCTCAGAGATATCCATAAAGTTATCATGGATGTTGTTAGGCCAAAATTTGAAAGAAAAAAGTTGTTTATAAGGTGGTGTGGTGGTTAAGGGTGCTGGACTCCTACATAGCTGACTGTGGTTTGAGTCCTGGACCTGGTGGCTTGCTTTCTCACTTTCTCACTCTCTCTCTCTCTCTCTCTCTCTGTCCCTCTCTGGTCAAATAAATAAATAAATAAATAAAGTTAAATAAAATAATTCTTTAAAAAAAAAAAAGAAATATTTTGCTTATTGTTTTACTTAAAACACTAGCTAAATAAAAAGGGTATTTAAGGAACCAGCAGTTGGCATAACAGCTATGTTGCTGGACTTTCATGTAGTCGACCACAGTTCAAGGCCTGGACCTGGTGGCTTAAACTCACGCTGGGCGCATGTGCATGCATGCCCAAGATCCCGAGAGGAGAATGGAAGAGAAGGGTTTGCAGTGTAGCCATCTCCTCTGGGAGGTGATTTCTCGCTTTCTGTATCTCTCTGTCTATCTGGCGAGCACACGCGCCCTATAGCAAAAACCTCTCAAAAAAAGGGGGGGGGGCATTTAAATTACAGTTTTAGGAACCAACAGATGGCATGGTTACATTGCTGGACTCCCACTTACTCAACCGTGGTTCAGGTCCTGGACCTGGTGGCTTAAAACTTACATGTGTGTTGGGGCTGACAGTGTGGTGATTAAAGGTGCTCGACTCCCACATGGCTGACCACAGTTCGAGTCTCGGACCTGGTAGCTTGTCCTCTCACTTTCTCTCTTTCCCCTTTCATCAAAGTAAATAAAAACCAACAAATTAAATTAAATTAAATTAAATAAATACTTAAAAAAATTACATTTCTAGTGGTTTGAGTCCCAGACCCAGTGACTTAAAACTCACGCCGGGTGAGTATGCATGCATACCCAAGATCCTGAGAGGAGAATGGAGAAGGGACTGCAGTCTGGCCATCCTCCTTGGAGTGGGGAGGTAGGAGGGGTGATTTCTTGCTCTCTGTGTCTCTATCTCTCTGGTGAGCACATGCACCCTATAGCAAAAATCTCTCCAAAAATAAATTAATTACAACTCTGTTAATATACACAGTTTTGTGGGTTTTTTTGGGGGGGTTGCTATAATGCCCATGGGTTCAACAGAGCAAAACAGTGAGAGGGAAAGTGGAAAATCACCCCCACCGGAGCGAGGGCCACACTGCAGTCCCTTCTCCTCCAGGGATTGGGTGTGCACACACACGTGCCAGGCTTGATTTTTAAGCCACCAGGTCCAGAATTTGAACCATGCTTAGCCATGTGGGAGTCCAGCACCTTAGGTGGCCCCTCCACAGTTTGTTTGTTTAAGTTTCTGTCATGAGAGAGAGAGAGAGAGAGAAGCACCTTCGACAGGTCTCATACAGTGCTCCCCACCAGCCTCCCAACTGGCCAGGATCGTGGCCATGCGCATATACTCTGGACTACAATGTACATGTAGTTACTAATACTCTTCTACAAACGTAAAAAGGGTTAGGATAGAAAATTTTGTTATGTGTTTTGACCACAATTTTTTTTTAATTCTTTTTTGTAGATTTTTGCCATAGGGCATGTGCACTTGCTAGAGAGAGACAGAGGGAAAGTGAGAAGTCACCCCATTGTTCTCTCAGAATTTTGGGCAAACACAAGTGCCTGGCGTGTTTTCAAGCTGCTGGGTCTGGGACTCAAACCATACAGTTGGCCATGTAGGATCCAGCACCTTAACCACCTCACTACCTGCTAGCTCCAAAAATGGTCTTTAAATTAGGAAGAAAAAAAACCCAGTATATCACACAACAGTTTTGTATTTCTATGCCTTAGTTAGCAAAAATACCAATACAATGCTAGAAACTGATCGGTTTGATCAATTGATCAAAATGTCCATTGTCATGGAAGAATAAAATAATTCTGGATACCCTAGAAAAACATGAACTATAAGTTAGTGTTGGAGGGGGTGAGGGCAGCAGGTGGTGTGGAGGTAAAGGTGCTGGATCCCACATGATTTGGCTGCCTGGTTTGAGTCCTGAACCTGCACACACGTTCTAGGGCAAAACCTTAAAAAAATAAAAAAAATTTAGAAGGGTCAGAACTTCCCAGAGCAGTTACCCTCTATCCCCTAGCCAGTCCAAGGAGGTAAGTGGTAAGGCCAGGCCCATCAAGATTACAGAGGTCAGAAAGCCCCTACCCTAGAGTCAAGTCTCTTCCCAACTGTACTCCAGTGTATTTCCAACTTGATTCCTTCCAGACTCTTCTGTACCACTGGGGTCTGGCCATACGTTGCACCTCTATGCATCTGGTATAAAAGCCTAACTATCCAAGGAATGAGTGGCGAAAATGGCTGTTGAGACTGCATCGCTTTAAACACACTAAATCATAACCTGCATTGTAACAAGATCCTCAGATGATTTATACACATTTCAGTTTCCTATTGTTCTCCATCAAGAACCTTTAACCCTGACTACACCACTAATTTCAAAACACACTATTTCTGCTTTTGTTTTTATTTCATTCTCTTATCTGCAATGTCTTCTCTTTTCGTTAAAACGTGAATGAACTCTACTCAGCTGAAGTTTACATTATCTCCACAGACTGTTCGCTAAAGCCCATACTGAACTTAACATTCTCGAAACTTAAGTCTTTAATATTGCCATATATTTTCAATTAATCACACCCTCTTTTGTTTTTATGTTTTCTGTGTGTGTGTGTGTGTGTGTGTGTATGTGTGTTTTCCAGTTTTTGCTACAGGGAATTAGTGCTTGCCAAAGAGAGGGAAAGTGAGATATCATCCTCCAAGGAAAATGGCCGCACCATGTCTTTCAATCTCCTCTCAGGATTTTGGACACACATGCACACATGCCTGGTATGGTTTTCAAGTCACAAGGTCTAGGACCAAACCCCGCAGTTGGCCATGTGGGATCTAGTCACCTTAACCACCATGCCACCAGCTAGATCTACATTCTGTTTTATATAAAATGTCACTTAAAGCTTTAGTTAAAAAAAAAGCTAAAACAAAAAAACTTCAGTTTCAGTTTTCTCTCTATATACAGATAGGCTCCTGGAAGACAAAAGTTATAGCTTATTTTTCTTCTATACTTCCCTTCTCCACAGTGCTCAGTACAGAGCTAAAAAGTCATACACTAAGTATTTGTTGGTTGATTTCAGTACCTTTGGAAATAATTTATTGTTCTAAGAAGAGCAGATTTGTTTTTTGTTGTTGTTGTTGTTGTTGTTTTTTGAGAGAGATATTTGCTATAGGGCGCATGCGCTCACCAGAGAAACAGAGAGACAGAAAGTGAGAAATCACCCCCCTGGGGGGATGGCCATGCCCCAATCCCATCTCCTCCATCTTCCTCTCAGGATTTTGGTCATGCACGCACACGTACCTGGCGTGAGTTTTAAGCCACCAGGTCCAGGACTCAAACTACGGTCAACTACGTTGGAGTCCAGCGATGTAACCATTATGCCATCTGCTGGTCCCAGGTCAGATATTTCTTACATAGATAATATATTAAAGCTATACATTCAAGGTCAAATTAAAAGATTACAGAATTTGAGAACTTATGACTTAATAAAAGTCATGTAAGCCACAGAATTACTCTATTTTGCTTTATCTGCATAAAAAAATATAAACATTACCTCTGGATTTTCACTTAAGTATATCTGTTTAGATATGTTGTTTATTGTGCAAATCCACTGCAAAAGGAAAAAATAGAAAAATATGATTAATAATTTTTCTCACAAAGCTTCTCTCCTAAAAGAATGTTTAATAATCAACTAAAATAGAAAGTTTCATTAGAAATAATGTATAATCTTAGAGAATTCCTTACTATATAAATATACCTTTTTTATGTAAATGAACATTCAGATTTATCAACTCTTTTTCCATGGGAAGTACAAGTAATTAAAGCTAAGTCTTTACATAATTTCCAATTTTGTCTTTTACCAACACTTAGAATATTATAAGATAAAAAGATTTAAACTCAAGCTCTGGTACAAGTTCATGGAGGAATATTTCTCAAGAGGACATTTTTAAAGCCTCAGCTCTTGATAGTAGTACCTTACCTTCCATACTTGGTGTACTAGGAGTAAAAATGGAGCCAGAAATAAAAGGCTTGTGAGGAAGAACAGAGACTCCCAAACTTTTGTTTTCCTATCTCTCATTTCCCCAAGGATTTAAGTTTAGCTGCTTCCTGCCGTGCCACATCTGCTGCCACTATGTTCCTAGCGCAGTAAATGGTGTCTCGAAAGGTTGGGTGGAGAAGGGAGTAAATGAAACTGCTGCCTCATGATACGGACAGCCTGCCAGAAAGCCAGTCACAAGGGCACTTCGGAATCTGAGCCCAGGATCTCTAGGTCCCTCCAATGGTAAAACTCAGTGAGAAACTTAACGTTATTGCTTGAGGACAAAAGACTTCTAACAACAATAACAACAAATTCACTAGAATTTTCCAAAATTTCTTTAACATGTTTAAATGTCACTGAAGAAATTAACTAGGTAAAAGTTTACCTCCTCATGGTCTTTTTTACTCTCTGCTTGTAAAATTGAAGATCTAAAAAAAGAAAATTAAAAGTCTGAGTATCAACTTTTTTTATTAACCTAATAATTATATATTTTTAAAAAGTACTTTCTACATGATCTCAGAGTTGTTTTTTTTAATCTTAATATAGGTTGATATAAAAACCAGTCAGTACTAAAAAAAAAAAACAAAACCAAAAATAAAACAGAACCAACATTATCTTAGAAAAAGGAGACCACCAGATGCATTAGGACTCAGACCTTAACAACTGACTTGGGCTATCAATGCCGAGATGGACCAGAAAGGAAACCCACCCTGGTCCCTCAGAAGACAGGCCATGAGTGACAAAGGAACATTTCAATTATGACAGTGCTTTTTACCTTTCTGACAGTTACTATATACATTTCAAATATAAATCAATGACCCTATTAGAAAATGGACTTTACTTCAATAACTTCACTTCATTATTGTTTCTTCTAAGGTTAAATAAAAAATTTCAGTATATCGATCATTAACACAATGAATGTTAATCTTTTTATAGACGTTAGTATTTTAAAGTAAGAGAAAAATAATTTTTATTTAAATTTTGCATCACAATAGAAGTGTGAATGGGGGAATCATGTTAAACATTCACCCAAAAACTGAACATTTAAAAAAGGCAGAAATATATTAATAATTTGGTAATTTTGATAGGTGAACACAGAGACTCACAGTATCTAGTGTAATCCTTATAAAAGGATATGAAATGAATCCACCATTTAGATAAAAGATAGTAAGTCATTAATACCAACCTATTCTTTTAAGAAGTGAAGGTTGGGGGCCAGCAGGTGATGTGGTGGCTAAGGGTGCTGGCCTCCCACAGGGCTAACCACATTTCAAGTCCTGGACCTGGTGGCTTGCTTTCTCACTTTCCATCTCTCTCTCTCTCTCTCATTCTGTACCTCTCTGGTCAAATGAAAATAAATAAATTAATTAATTTATTAATTTTTTAAAAAAAAATCTTAAAAAAAAAGTGAAGGTTGAATTTATTTATTTTATAATACATCAATGTACATAAATAAAGAGAAAAAAATGAGTTTCAGGAGACCAGAGGCTACTCCTCTATGTTAAGAAAGTTCAAAGATGGGGACCAGCAGTTGGCGTAATGGCTATGTTGCTGGACTCCCATGTAGCCGACCATGGTTTGAGTCCCGGACTTGGTGGCTCAAAGTCACGCCAGGCATGTGTGCGTGCCCAAGATCCTGAGAGAATGGAGGAGAAGGGATTGCGGTAATGGCCATCCCCCCTGGGGGGTGATTTCTCACTTTCTGTCTGTCTTTCTCTGTCTTTCTGGCGAGCACACATGCCCCATAGCAAAAACCTCTAAATAAAATTTTTTTTAAGTATCACTTAGGAGCTGGCAGGTGGTGTGGTGGTTAAAGGCACTGGATTCCCACACAGTCTAACGCTGTTCGGATCTCGGACCTGGCAGCTTGCTTTCTTGGTTTCCTTTTCTATATATATATATTTATATCTGGTCGAATTTTAAAAAATGATAATGACAAATGGAATTAAATTTTTTAAAGTATCATTTATTTGATAGGCATATCGTGTATGTTAGATTTCTACTGTAGTAATTTACTAAGTAGGGATTATAACTCCCTCACCTACATATTAATGTAGAAAAATGGAGCTCAGAGGGAGTAACTTGTCTAAGACCACACAGTAAATAATGGATCCAGAATGTGAACTTTCTGACCCCAGGGTTGGGATATTTTCCATTAACTTGTGCTTCCCCAATCTATGCAAGGTTTTCTCTTACCGTGAAACCATATGTCTTTACCATATGACTTGCTCTGACCTCAAATATTAAGAAATCATTTAATCAAATGAGAAAGAAAAAGTCAACTCATTTCTGTAAGATTAAAAAGCAAACTATCTCAGGTGTCTAAAATACCTACAAAATTCCTGAGAAAGAATTATACTGTATTTTAGTAGTTTAAAATATTATAGATCTTATTAATAGTAGAAAAAAAATACTAACTTTTTTCCGTCAAAAGAGGTGATCTGAAAACAGTATCGCCTGTCTTCGCAGTCCACGGCCATCACTGAGCAGTTGTCTATGTCCATGGCCAGGCCTCCAGCTACGTCGCCACGGGCCTGACTCATTAAGTTCCCACCCTGGGTGAAGTAAAACTGTCTGTCCCAGGTAGATGACACCAAGCCTGTTTTACTAAATAAAGAAAGCACAGTTGCTCTTTAATAATGATACACCTGAACTCTCTTTACCATCAGCCAGACACAAGATTAAGCATCTTAAAAAGAACTGGCTTGCAAAAAGGTACCAGGATGCCAAGAGAATGTAAGTATCAGTTTTTCAGTCTCTAAAATAAAGACATGCATGTTGACTCAGTTGTGTAAATGTGTGCACAGTTTCCAAAACAAGGATGGAAATTAACAAACTGTAGCTGTTACAATGTGCTTCATAAAATTTAACTTCATTTAGTTTCACTTCTAAGGAAATAAATTCAAAATTAAAGAATGTATTTACCACAGTTAACCTGCTTCATCTTATCTTCACATAATTAAAATTTACTTGATGTTGTTATTATGAATATTTTAAAGTATGACAAATGATATGTAATGGCATTCACAAGTTACAGTATATTTCTTTAAATTCAAACCACTTTTAGTTCTTATATAATTTTAAATTATTCAATAAATGTCTAGGTAGAACTTTACCTTTCAAAACTATTCATGTACTTCCTCTGTCAAAAATTTTACATAAATGCTAACAGTGCCAAGGAAGTTCAACCTTTAGTAATATCAAAACCACTTGGCAGACAATATCAACTGTATATTGGCATGACTTACATGATATATGACATATGAAAATATAGTTTTCTTACTTTCTAGCATTAAGGTATCCAGCTTTTCGGGTTAAGTTCCGATTTACAGGAAATTTGGTGGGGTCTGGGTCCGGCACATACAAGGGGTCACTGGCTACTTCCAAATCCTCTATTGTCTGCTGCATGGTCTCTACATCATTGTCCATTTCCCTGCGGACACTAACACAGAAGAGATTATTCACTACTACCACCACAACTGACAAAGAACTTATCGTTCATGTTTATCTGAATTTTTTAAAGTTTTTCCTATAGGGTGCATGAACTTGCCAGAGAGAGGGAGGGAGGGAAAGTGAGAAAGCACCCCCTAGGGGGGATGGCCACACCACAATTCCTTTTTCTCTATTCTCCTCTCGGGATTTGGGGCATGCAGGTACAGGTGCCTGGTCTGATTTTCAAGCCACCAGGTCCTGGAATTAAACTGCTCAGTCGGCCGTGTGGGATCCAGCTGCCTTAACCTCTGCACCACCTGCTGGCCTGGTAAGTACTTTGTAAATTATGATATTTGGTTGTTAACTTATTCATGTCACTCAGTTTTTCAATTTTAAAGGCAAAAATACTTACTTCTGCACACTTGTTCCAATATTAGCTAAAAATTCTTCCAGTTGTTCACTGAGATTTTCAGAACCCATCTTGAAAAAACTTATCTAGAGTGGGGATGTGAGAGATTGAACAAGAACATACAAACACCAAAAAATAGTTGAAGTAAATCACATAAACAATCTCTAAGATACATGGTTAAATAAAGAAACAAAATATTTTTCTCCTATTTCTGTAAAAATAGATTTTTTGTGTGTGATTTCTATTAGCCATGGAGCAACTGAGGAAGCTAGACAAATTCCACTGTACATTCTTTTATATTTTTTTAATTCAAGAAGTAATAGTAAACAATTTTTTTAAACTGGAAAAAAATTTTAAAGCATTTCAAATAAATCAGATGAATAAACTATTTCATGTTTCCTATAAAGATAAGATTTATACCTGAGGAATAATCATATTCTTACATTTTTAAAAGAATTATTTATTTTAGGGGCTGGCAGGCAGCATAGTAGTTAATGTTTTGGACTCCCACAGGGGTGACCACAGTTTGAGTCCCAGACTTGGTGGCTTGCTTTCTCACCTTCACTGAGATTAAAAGATAAAAATATCTGTCACTCTCTGGTCAGATTAAAAGATAATAATAATAACTAGTGAAATTAAATAATTCTTTAGTAAAAAGAATTATTATTTTATTTATTCTTTTATTTTGATATAGGGTGAATGCATTAGCCAGAGAGAGACAGAGAGAAAAAGAGGGAAAGTGAGAAAGCAAGCAGCCAGGTCTAGGACTCGAACCATGGTAGGCCATGTGGGAGTCCAGTGCCTTAACCACCATACCACTTGTTGGCCCCATATCCCTACATTTAATGTAAACATCCAGTTCAGAATATATAACTTTTGGGACTGTTAGAATCCAAGATATAGTACAGTATTTACCTGAGCTTGCATGTACCCAAGTAGAGGTTCTAACAATGCTATTTTCTTCTTGTACTGAAGAGTATTTAGTGCACAGAAATAATGCATCATGGTCTGGTGTTGTTTCTTTCTGGAAGTGTACACATCTTCTGTTACTTCATATTTCACCTGAAGATGAAAAGATTAAACATACTATTATTTCCTTACTTTTAAATTATCTTCAGTAGTGGCTATGAGGAAGCACCTACTCTAGGAAAATGATATATCACAAGCAATTGAACTAACTTTACCGTTTTCTGATTACAAATATTTCAACATGTTGGCTAAGTTGGTTTTCCTGTTTCACTACCAATCATTTACAAAATGCCCATTAAAAGCAGAATTCTAGGGACCAACAGATGCTGTAATGGTTATGTCACTGAGCTCCCACATAGTTGACCATGGTTCAAGTCCCTAACCTGGCAGCTTAAAACACTCCAGGCGCATGTGCATGTGCCCAACACCTCAGGAGGAGACTGGAGGAGAAAGGATTGCAGCATGGCCATCCACCCGACCCCCAAGTGATTTCTTACTTTCAGTCTCTCTGTTTCTTTCTGTCTTTCTAGCAAGCAACACAACCAACCCAAAAAAAAAACCCCCAAAAAAAAAAAAAAAAAAAAAAAGAATTCTAGGCTGGCCATGTAGCATAACTGTTTAGTGCTGAGCATAGGAACCCAGATCCCACATGGCCAACCTTGGTTTAAATTCTGGTCCTGGTGGCTTGAGAAACATGCAGGGCACATGTGTGCATGAGCACCTGGATCCTGATAGGATGAGGGGATGGAGGAGGGGGACTGGAGTCCCGTTGTGGGGTGCTTTCTGTCAGGTGTATGTGCCGACTGGAAATTAAGATGTAAAAAGGCAGGGGACCATCAGGTGGCGTGGTGGTTAAGGCGCTGGACACTCCCATATGGCCGACTACAGTTCGATTACCGGACCTGGTGGCTTGCTTTCTCACTTTCTCTCTCTCTGTGTATCTCTCTGGTCAAATTAAAATAAATGAATGAAGGGACCAGCAGTTAGCGTAATGGCTATGTTGCTGGACTCCCACGTAGTCGACCGCGGTTTGAGTCCCGGACCCGGTGGCTTAAACTCAGGCCGGGCGCGTGTGCGTGCGTGCCCAAGATCCCGAGAGGAGAATGGAGGAGAAGGGATTGCGGCGTGGCCACCCCCCCGGGGGGTGATTTCCTGCTTTCTGTCTCTCTGTCTCTCTCTGTCTGTCTGGCGAGCACACGCGCCCTATAGCAAAAATCTCAAAAAAAAAAAAAAAACTGAATGAATAAATCAAATTAAATAAATAATTTTTTTAAAAAAAACGATGTAAAAAGGCAGAACTCTGCACTTAACTAAAAATGGTATAATCGCTAAAGTAAGCATAGTCAGCACGTCAGAGAAAGTCTACCACGTGGAGGAAAGGAGGAAAGGCACACAGTTGTTTGTTGTTGGCCTGCCATTCGAACTTCATCAGTTGACAGCACACCACTCTCCCCTCCTGGTTCTCTCCTGACATTCTTCCTCTCTACCTGTGTGTCTTCCTTCACATATTTTTTAAAAAGAATTATTTTATTTAACTCTATTTATTTTAATTCGAGTGTGGGGTTGGGGGGCAAGTGAGAAGGCATTCTGCCAGATCCGGAACTTAAACTGCAGTCAGCCATGTGGGAGTCCAGAACCCTTAACCACCATGCCACCCACCGTCCCCTCTTCACATATTCTTAAAATATGTGTGCTCCCTTGAGCTCTTTTATTCAGACAACAAATTTATTTTTTGTTTATTAGGTTTTTGTTATAGGGCATATGCACTCACTGGAGAGAGACAAAGAGTGAGAAATCACCCCCCCTAGAAGGGATGGCCACACTGTAATCCCTTCTCTTCCATTCCCCTTTTGGGATTTTGGGCACAAAAATAATGCACGCCAGACACCTGGCATGATTTTCAAGCCACCAAGTTCAGTACTCAAACTGTGATCAGCCATATGAGAATCCAGAGCCTTTTTTTCCCCAAAGAATTATTTAATTTTATTTACTCATTCATTTATTTTAATTTGACCAGAGAAACAGAGAGAGAGGGAAAGTAAGAAAGCAAGCCACCAGGTCCAGGACTTAAACTGTGGTCGCCCAGGTGGGAGTGTCTAGCGCCTTAACCACCACACCACTTGCTGGTCCCGAGAATCCAGAGCCTTAACCACTAAGCCACCTGCTGGCCCTAGACAACAATTATTTATTGAGCACTTGTTCTGCAATATGCATTAGGTGCTTTTCTCTTCCTGCTTTCTGTAGAATACTTTATTGAGATCAAGAATATTCCAATATAGGGGCCAACAGGTGGCGTGGTGGTTAAGGGTGCTGGACTTTGACATGGCCAACGGAGTCCTGGACCTGGTGGCTTGCTTTCTCACTTTCCCTCCTCTCTCACTCAGGTCTTCTGTGGCCAAATGAAAATGAATGAATGAATGAATAAAAACAAAATAATTATTTAAAAAAAAAAAAGAATATTCCAATATACCAAGCTAGGCACTAGTAGCAGGCACCTGTAATTCCAGCTACTCAGGAGGCTGAGATAGGATGATACTGAGTTTAAGGCCAGTCTAAGAAACACAGTGAGACCCTATCTTTAAAAAAATAAAATGCTGCACTAGGAGGAGGCATAGTGGTTAAGGCACTGGATCCCACATAGCTTAGCTGACTGTCCAGTTAAAGATCTGCTCAAACCCCGCAGCCTGAAAAACATGCTGGGTGCGTGTGCATGTGTGCATGCCCAAAATCCCAAAAGGGGAACATTCTTTCTATCTCTCTGGCGAGCACGCACACCCCATAGCAAAAACTTAAAAAAAAAAAAAAAATCCATATATTAGTGACTCATGATTTTTTATCTATTGCTCCTCACTCTCTCAAGTGCATCTGCTGTTTTAATAGAATGTTTCACGAATTTGCATGTCATCCTTGCACAGGGCAGGAGCCATGCTGATCTTCCCTGCATTGTTCCAGTTTCAGTGTATGTGCTGGAAATGTAAAAAACCAAAGACATTATCTTCCCCGCAAAACCTGCTCTTCTACATTGTTTCTTGCTCTCCTGTTCACTCCAGGATCTATCTAGTTATCTGAGAATCTAACGAATTGTTTTTCATTTCTCCTTCTACCATAAATCGTGCCAATTCTACTTAGGAAATATCTCCCAAAACAGTCCTTCCTCTTCACTTTCAGTAACAACCTGAGACCTTTGTTATGTCTTTGCAAACTGTCCTAGTATCTTTTTCACTGGATTCCCTCCATCCTCGTCCCTTCACCTTCTCACTAGTATTTTTGTTCTGTATCACAGCTGCACCGTTACTCCTCAGCAGTTACCCACTCCCTCTAACACATATTTCAAGGTCATTAATATAGTAATTTGGCCCCAAGCTACGTCTTTGTTGCTATACGTCCTCAAATACCTCTAGTGCTCCAGACTCACTGGAATGATTATCTTTCATCATCATAACAACTACTGCTAAAATTAGTTGAAAACTTGCTACAGGACAGGTAGATACTCTACATGCATTACCTTATTTCATCTTCACAACTGAGCTCTTCGATAGGGAAATAATGGATTGGGGTGAAGTAACTAGGCATGACCTCAGTAAAGAAGTGGTGGAGTTGGTATTTGTTTTCAAGCAGACTCCAGAGCCAGTATCTTAACCTTTCTGCTCTCACAGCTCCACCATATGCCTCTGCAGAGGCTGTTCCCTCAACCTCCCCTCTCCTATCCCAAACCAGTCCCATCTACTTACCTTTAATGCAAATGTCACCTCCTGAATGTGAAATCTTTTCTAACTCATCAAAGCTAACTGCTGCCCTCTCTGTGAAGAGTGGAGCCTACTCACACTCTTCCCCCCAAGGTACCTCAAATACAGCTCGACACACAATAGGTACTCAATTTTTTAAATAAAATGAAATTGATGAAAGAAATGGCTTTTTAAATTATTTATGTAATTTCATTATTATTGTTTATTTTTAATTTGACCAAACATAGAAAGAAAGAGAAGGGGAAAGTAAAAAAACAAGTCACCACTGTTGACCATGTGAATATCCAATACTTAACCACCACACCACCTGCAGGCCCTGGTGAGGGAAATGTTTTTAAAAGACTTGAAACCAGTAGGTGGCAGTAGTGATAAAGGCATTGGACTTTCATGTGGCCAACTACACTTCAAATCCTGGACCCAGAGGCCTGAAATTCAAGCCGGCACATATGTGTGCATGCATGCCCAAAATCCTGAGAGGAAAATGGAGGACAGCAGACTGCAGCATGGCCATCCTCTCTGGAGAGTGATTTCTCACTTTCTGTCTGTCTCTCTGTCTGGCAAGTGCACACGCCCACTAGCAAAAATCTCTCAAAAAACTAGGTAATACTTGGAAAAAGTATTTTGTACCAGGAACCTTTAACTACTTCTCTAATGCAAAGTAACTAATGAAGATCTCAAAATGTATGTCTCTTACCAATAGCTATACCATTACATATTCTCTGTGCTAAAACCTGACATGCAACACAGACCTTTGCACTGAACATTGTATCAGAAACATTCTCTTTCTTGTCACAGTAGCTGGTGCAGAGTAAGTCCTACCCAACTATGGATCCCCAAAAGTAGTCACCATGTCTCTACCAGAATTTCCAAATGAGACTGCAGATGCCAACTCCCAACCGATATCAGCTCACTCATAAGGATCTTATGAGGTCTACAGGCCAAGCCTTGGATTAGAAACTGAAGAGAAGTGACCTTAAGGAGCACTCAGATGAACTTGTTAGTATTCTATTCTTTTATCTTCACTTAATGCATACAATAGAATATTTCTGGATTTCACTCACTCCTTGAAGAAATATCAAAAGATGTATAAAGGGGGACCAGCAGTTAGCATAATGGCTATGTGGCTGGACTCTCACGTAGTCGACTGCGGTTCGAGTCCTGGACCCGGTGGCTTAAACTCACACCAGGTGCGTGTGCGTGCATGCCCAAGATCCTGAGAGGAGAGTGAAGGAGAAGGGATTGCGACGTGGCCATCCCCTCTGGGGGGTGATTTCTTGCTTTCTATCTCTCTGTCTCTGTCTGGTGAGCACACGCACCCTATAGCAAAAACCTCTCCAAAAAAAGAAAAAAAAAAAAAAAGATGTATAAAGGTACTGAAAAAGCTAGAAGGAAAGAATATACTAAGAGTAACACAGCAAAGTAGACAAAGTAACTGCTAGCTCTGTTTTTAAACAGGAAAAACAATACTACCTAATGAGACAGTTAATTATGAGAGTGAAGGAGGAAGTATATATCATACCTTGTCATTTTCTCTTTTTTTTGATAATCGGCTGTATCTATTAATTGCAGCGTCATGATCTGGAAAACAGAAATGGCTGTTAACACCACAGTGGTACATACTGTGCAAAACTTACAAATACTTTACATGGTCTTTACATCTGCGTCATTTGGCAAGGTAAGAATTCCCTACTATGTGATTCACTGCACTCGAATTTTCCCGACAGCCAAATTTCCCCCTAAATTATTTTAAAAAGTATTTTTAGTGCAAACATAGCATACACTCATTAAACACAAACAAGCAAGATAAAATATACCACCCTTTCAGTCTGCTAAAGTTAGTAAACTCCAGCATAGATATAATTTACTTTTAAATTTTTCTTACAGTATAAACAATGTAATTTAGGTAATAATATTGATTTAAATAATGTTCACCTAAACTTTTAGTTAGGTTCAGTTTTTGCAGTTATTACAAAGACTCTGGCCATGGGTATGCCCTGATAGGTACGAGAGATACAAGAGATAAATGTGTAAAGTATTTAGGGCTTACCATTACTAGCAATCTGAAACACTTCCTTTAATGTTAATATTTCTGAAAAAGTTCAAGAATAATTTCAGTTTAGCATATTATGAAATGTCTTAGTTTGTTTAGAAAATAAGAACTGCCACTTAAGCTATAATTAAAATTTCAAATATTTCATACTCCAATATTCAAGGTAAGAAAGTAATTATGCGTTTCAGCTAGTCTTTGGAATATTTACTATCATTAGCAACAGTGACACTGCCAGAAAATCTACTTGCCATTAACAAGTGACATGATGCAAAAACAACTTTTGAAACTCACTGTTAATGCTAAGATATGCAAATATCCTAATTTAATGCCAGAATCTGACTTATTCACTTTTTGATATATGACTCCAGTAAGTTCAAATGTTGGATGAGAAAGTATGTTCTATTAATAAGATTATGCCATTAAGTCCCCTTATATTTTTTAAGAAAAGAGATCTTATTTCTTGACCTTGGAAATGACCATTCTTAAGAATCACCACAATAAGTAACTCCATCTCTAAACTACATTTGTCTTTATTCCATGCATAATTTAAGTACTTGACCAGTCCCTAATATATTAGTTCAATGTCTAAGATTATAAACTATAAGAAAGCAGAGCCAATGCTATAAACTTCTCATTTCATCACGTAGTAATCCTAAATGGGGAATAAAAAACCACCACCACTAACTAAACTGTGGGCTGTTAGATGTGCCAGCACCCCAGCCTTCCATTATCCCAGCCATGTGCCACCACCCTAATTGAGGCATTGGTCACGCATATCTCACTGAGCTGTGAGAAGCCATAGGTCTCATAATTTCCTACACCAGTGTTCTAGACACCACATCTGTTCTATCCCACCCTCCAAGGACAAAGGAATTGTTTCTCTCTACTCCGTAAAGACTTTCATTGGTTTTTCTCTGTTCATAAATTCAAGTCCAATCTCTAGCATGATCTGGTTCCATCTTTTCTGTTTCTACAGGGTCATCTGGAAAGTCATGACACATTTTTACATTCCTATACAGAATGGAAGAAAATATTTTTCTATGTAATAATGTATCATGACTTTCCAGATAACCTAACACATTCATTTTTGGCCTCACCTCAATATATCCCACATCACAGCCACATTGAACTTCTTGTTATTCTCAAAACAAGCTATGTATTTATAAAACCATCTTTGTGTATTCTAATTCTCCTAAAGTAAGAATTATCTTTCCCTGGCAAATTCCTTTTCATTGTTCAGTGCGCATACCACATCCCTGGTGAAGCTTTTCTGACCTGCTTCCTATGAGTTCTCATAGCATCCTACTCACTGCCATACTGTAAGAGACATAATGTCATAGTTATGTGTTTACCCATCTCGTTTTCTAGGGTCTCTAAGGGGAAAGGATATATTACTTTTATCAGTATTTCTCAGTGTCTAGTTCATTACCTAATGGGAGTTCCTATAAATGTTTAGTGACTAATTCAAGTAAAAGTGGCAGAGGTTGTGTCAATAATAGTTAAGGTATAAAATAATATGCATTTTACAAGTATTGATCTTCTGACAGCTGATCAAAGTAAACATGAGCTTGACTTCAATACCTTTCAGATCTCTTTCTTTAAACTGGGTAATGGGGAACATCATGGCATCAGCAAGTTGAGTTGAAAGTACCGCATGACAAGAGCTAAGCTAGTAAAAGAAAGACCAAAAAGGCCAAATAACTAATTATACAGAGACATTTAACCACTGTAATGTAAATTAAGCAAAATTTAGTAAAAAAAAAAAAGTCTTTGAAACATCTTACATTAAAAATATACAATAAAAATTATGTTATTCAATATGAAATAATACATAGTAAAAAAAAAGTTCCATTTAAAACTCTTAGAAGAAGACATAGAATGACCTTGGATTGGGCAATGGTTTCTGAGATAAGGTACCAAAAGCACAAAGAATTTAAAACATAAACTGGACTTCATTCAAATTTAACTTTTGTGCATCAGAGAACACTATCAAGGAAGTAAAAAGACAACCTATACAGAATGGAAGAAAATATTTGCCAACCACATATCTGAAGGATCTGAATAGACACTTCTTCAAGATAAACAAATGACCAATAAGCACAAGAAAAGATACTCATCATTAGCTATCAGAGAAATGGAAATAAAACCCACAATGAGATACCACTTTTGACACTTAAATGGTGATAATAAAAAAAAAAACAAGAAAAAAAGGATGAAAAAAGAAAATAACAACTTTTGGAGAGTATGTGGCAAACTGGAACCTTCCTTCATCACTGGTGGGAATGTAGAATAAAAAACAAGAAAAAAGGATGAAAAAGGAAAATAACTACTGCTGGAGAGTATGTGGAAAACCGGAGCCTTCCTTCATCACTGGTGGGAATGTAAAATGGGGCAGGCACTGTGTACAACAGATTGGTGGTTCCTCAAAAAGTTAAACAGAAAATTATCTTATGACCTAGCAATCTCACTCCTGGGTATGAACTTTCCAAAACAACTGAAAACTGGTGTCCCAAAAACCCAAACTTGTACACATATGCATATAGCAGAATTATTCATACTAACCAAAAAGTGAAAAATAACCAAAATGATGTCCATCAACAGATAAATGGATAAATATAGCCTATCCATACAATGAAATTTTTTGGTGGTTTTTTTTTTTTTTGGAGAGGTTTTTACTATAGGGCGTGTGCACTCACCAGAAAGACAGAGGGAGACAGAGAGACAGAAAGTGAGAAATCACCTCCCAAGAGGAATGGCCATGCTGCAATTGCTTTTCCTCCATTCTCCTCTCGGGATATTGGGCACGCACGCACACGCGCCTGGAATGAGTTTAAGCCACTGGGTGCGTACTCAAACCACGGTTGACTACATGGGAGTCCAGCAACACAGACAGTACAACAACTGCTGGTTGCTCATACAATGAAATTTTATTCAGCCAAGGAAGGAATGAAATACTGATACATATTACAACGTGGATGAACCTTGAATACATTATGTTAAGTGAAAGAAGACAGAAATACAAGTCTGCAAATTATGAGTCCATTTGTATGAATTATCCAAAATAGGCAAATCCATAGAAACTGAGTAATTGGGGAGGGGAAATGCAATTGTTCAATGGGCACTGATCAAAATGTTCTAGAACCAGGCAGCAGGTAGTGTAGTGGTTAAGGTGCTGGGTTCCCACATGGATGACTACGGTTCAAGTCCTAGACCTGGTGGCTTGCTTTCTCACGCTCTCTCATCAAATTAGAAAATAATAAGAAATAAAATTGAAAAAAAATGTTCTAGAACAAGACAGTGATAATGGTTGTAAAATATTGTTAACGTCCTAAATGTCATAAGTGGCAAATTTTGTATTATATGTATTTTATGAGCTTTTAAAAACAGAAAAAAGAGGCCAGCAGGTGGTGTGGTGGTAAAGGACGCTGGATTCCCACATGGCCAACCACAGTTCAAGTTCTGAGCCTGGACTCCAGACTGCAATTTGAGTCCCGGACCTGGTGGCTTGCTTTCTCACTTTTACTCTCTCTGTCTCTCTCACTCTGTCACCCTCTGGTCAGATTAAAAATAAAAATAAATAGAGGCCAGAAAGTGGCATGGTGGTTAAGGACACTAGATTCCCACATGGCTGACTGCAGTTCAAGTCCCAGACCTGGTGGCTTGCTTTCTCACTTTCTCTTTCTCTCTCTCTCTCTCTTTCTCTCTCTCTCTCTCTCTCTCTCTCTCTCTCTCTCTCACTCTATCCCTCTCTGGTCAAATTAAGATAAATAGATAAATAAAGCCAAATAAAATAATTTTTAAAAATAAAATAAAATATATAAATAAATAAATAAAGTTAAATAAACGAATTCTTAAAAACAAACAAAAAACCAAACACACACCAGGTACATGTGCATGCACTCCCAAAATCCGGAGAGAAGAATGGAGGAGAAGGGATTGTGGCATGGCCATCAGCCCTAGGGGGTGATTTCTCACTTTTTGTGTCTCTGTCTGTCTCTCTTTGGTAAGCGCACATGCCCTATAGCAAAAATCTCTCTCAAAAAAAAGTATTATTTCCGTATACTGATCTCTTGGGGTAAGATTTTTACTTCATTTTCTTAAAGAATTATTTATTTATTTAATTCCCTTTGTTGTTATTATTTTTTCATTTGACCGGAAAGAGACAGAGAGATAGAGAAAAGGAAAGCAAGAAGGGAAGCCACTAGGTCTGGGACTCAAATCACAGTCGGCCACATGGGAGTCCAGTACTTTAACCACCATGTCACTTGCCAGCCCCAAGATTTTACTCTGATTAGTTATTAAAACATTTCAAAAAATGGGACCAAGAGATTATTTAATAGTTACATCAATGGACTCCCACATAGTCGACCATGTTTCGAGTCCCAGACCCGGTGGCTTAGACTCATGCCAGGTGCATGGGTGTGTGTGCCCAAAATCCCAAGAGGAGAACGAAGGAGAAGGGGTTGAAGTATGGCCATCTCCCTGGGGAGTGATTTCTTGTTTTCTGCCTCTGTCTCTCCAGCAGGCACATGCATCCTATAGCAAAAAATCTCTCTCTTAAAAAAATTTTTTTTTCGGGAACCAGCAGTTAGCATAATGGCTATGTCGCTGGACTCCCACGTAGTCGACCGCGGTTCGTGTCCCGGACCTGGTGGCTTAAAAAACTCACGCCGGGTGCGTGTGCGTGCATGCCCAAGATCCCGAGAGAATGGAGGAGAAGGAATTGCGGCGTGACCATCCCCCCTGGGGGGTGATTTCTCGCTTTCTGTCTCTATGTCTCTCTCTCTTTTTTTTTCTACAGTGAAAATCTCTCCAAAAAAAAAAAAATTTTTTTTTTCAGGGCCAGCCAGTTGTGTGGTTCAGGCGCTGGACACTCCCACATGGCTGGCCACAGTTCGAGTCCCAGACCAGGTGGCTTGCTTTGTCACTTTCCCTCTCTTTCTCTCTGCATCTCTCGTCAAATTTAAATGAATAAAAATTAAATAAATAATTATTTTAAAATTTTTTTCAAAAAGTGATTTTCCAGTTATTAAGAAGACTAGAAAAGACCAAACTATCAAATGCTTCATATGAAAAGAACTTCCACCACGATAGTAGAGAACAGTTAGGACTCCTCGCACATCTCTCACTACATTTTTTCCTTCTAGTGTCTAGGTCTTTTTTTGTTTTGCTTTTAATGATTTGTTGTAATAACTGGTTTGAGAAGTTAAGGGTTGATTTTGGCTACTTAGGACAGAAAGATTAAGAACTGAACAGTAAACTGTTGCTAGGTAAGAAAAGAGAAACTACAAAGAGCCTAGCAATAGCTCACAGCTTCCTCTTCTTTCCCTGCCTACATCCAATCAGACGATGAAAAGACTGAACGTTACCTGGACTGGGAGTACAGAAAACACATCTACATGCTCTTTCCTGGAAAATAATTTGTTTTAATCAGAAAAAGAAAGTATTATTTTTTGAGACAACCACCAAGATGTGGAAATTAGGTCCTTCCTCAGTAATCTCTGTAATGGAGTTTTTACTCCTATAATCATAATAAAAGTTCCCAAGAAAGCTAAGTATCTTGAGTAACTTAATTATAAGACCGGTTATTCATGAAAAATGAAATAACCACTTACCTCATCTATAACTTTTGAAAACTGTTGTAAAGTAGAGCTCATAACTTCATCATCACCTCCTAAAGGAAAACGCTAAAAAGTGAAAAACAGAGATGAGGTGAAAGTTTGATGTTGTGTCTCTTGTGAATGAAAACAATATGTTTTTAAATAGCTTCAGAAAAATTGTAAAATTCTGAATAAGCTCTAACGATGTCATTTTAATAAGAGTGCAATTTCCATAATAAGCATTAATTAAAATATTAACGAGGTAGCCAGTTGCCATGGTATATTGGAGTGCGCACTGTATCACCAGTTCAAACACTAGGCATTAGGCTCCAGTTGCTCCAGTAACCAAGCAATGTAACTCAAGTATGTATCAGTTCCTTACTTTGTAGAAAGGAGGTAAACTACCAATAGATAACCTCTGTCTCTAACATTACATCATTAAAATCATCTCAATAGATGTACTAGAGTGAAATTTCAGTGACGTATTTGGTGAATTCTATTGGGTCGGCGGAAAAGTCATGCTGCATTTTTGCACAGGAAAACAGAAAAATATGTCATGACTTTTCTGATGACCCAAAAGAAAGCTTACGGAGAAAGTCTTGATTTATACAGATATTACATTACTGCATATTTCAAATTATGCTTTTAAAACTTTGATATACAATACCTGTTTTTCGTATTCTTTTAAAAGTTTTGAGGTCAAATGTGTTGCCGCACTTAATTCATTCTATGGAAAAAGGTAAGTGTTCAAATTAGCACAGTATTAAAGAGTAAGAAAAAAGTTTCAGTTAAAGATTCCAAAGCCACTTTTATTTACTATCACTTAACATAAATATTATATGACATATATATTTTTTTAATTTGCTAGAAGGCATGTGAGCTCACGAGAAAGAGAGAGAGAGAGAGAGAGGAAGCACCTCCAATGGGGAGTGGTCCTGCCACAATCCCTTTTCTTCCCTGTCTTCTTTGGGATTTTGGGCACTAATGCACACATGCCTGGAATGTTTTTTAAGCTGTTGGGTCTAGGACTCATGAATTTGGCCATAAGGGATCTAGCTGCCTTAACCAGCACACCACCAGTTGGCCTCAATATGATTTTCTAATAAAGAATCATTTCTCTGGGCCAGCAGGTGGCATGATGGTTAAGGCACTGGAATTCCCACATGGCCAACCATGGTTTGAATCCCAGACCTAGCAGTTTGTTTCCTCTCTCTCTCTCTGCCTGTCTTTCTCTGGTAAAAACTCATGTGAAATAATAATAATGATAAACAAACAAAATAAATCATTCTTTTAAAAAAAATAATGATTTCCTTTATTTTATTTATCACTATTGTTATTTTTAATTTGACCATAGCAAGACAGAGAGCAAGCGAGAAAGCAAGTCGCCGGGTCCGGGACTTGAACTGTGTGGTCAGCCATGTGGTAGTCCAGCAACTTTAACCACCATGCCACCTGGTGGCCCCCCAACATGATATTTTTTAAAGAATTATTTTATTTACCTTTATTTATTTATTTTTAATTTTACCAGAAGGGAACAGAGAGAGAGAGAGAGAAAAAGTGAGAAAGCAAACCAACAGGTCCAGGACTTGAACCACAGCTAGCCATGTGGGAGTCCAGCGCCCTTAACCACGCCACCTGCCAGCCCCATGGTTTTTTTGTTTTGTTTTGTTTTGTTTTTTACTATAGGGCATGTGTGCCCACCAGAAAGACAGAGAGAAATAGAAAGCGAGAAATCACCCCCAGAGGGGATGGCCATGCTGCAATCCCTTTCTCCTCCACTCTCCTCTCGAGATCTTGAGCATGGATGCACACGTGCCCGGCGTGAGTTTAAGCCACCGGGTCCAGGACTCAAACCACGGTAAACTACATGGAGTTCAGCAACATAGCCATTAAGCCAACTTCTGGACCCCGAACATGATTTTTAAAACCTTCATTAAATCATTGGAAAAGGAGCTACCATTAAAGCACTTTATAGGGAAACTCAAACCATAAAATTGACACTATGGAGGAACTCTCAGTAGTGTTCCAGGTGTGTGAAGGTTTATTGGGGAGGGCTAATAAAAACTAAACATTAGGAGCTAGCAGGTGGCATGGTGGTTAGAGGCACTGGACTCCCACATGGCCAACCGTGGTTCAAGTCCTTGACCTGATGGCTTGCTTTCTCACTTTCACTCTCTCTCATTCTGTCTTTCTGGTCAAATTAAAGTAAACAAATAAATAAAAGTGAAACAAAACAATTCTTCAAAAGAATTTTAAAAACAAAAAAGAAAGAAAGAAACTTAATATTAAATTAGATATTTTAAAAGCTATAAGTAAGTGCAGTGGCACACAACAGTGGAGCCATCTGGGAGGCCTAGGGTTCACATCCTAGGTTAACCTAAGCACACTGGGCACACTTGTGATTCAGGCTGTCTGGAAAGTTGGGGGAAGTACTGCAGTGTAGCAAGACCTGTCCGGGCTGTGTGTGTGTATATGTGTGTGTGTGTCTCTCAGTAAATACAAGAAGTCTTTAAAATGTTCATGGAAAAATGCATATAATTAAAAATAAAAACTCTGCATGAATTTCAACATTTCTTTGCGCAAAAGTAAATTTGTATTTTTAATTCCATTTTTCCACAACTTTCTGAAGTCTCCTTGTAAATAAACAAACAAAAGTTAAAAAGCTAGAAATTAACTATATATCCTTAGCAAAATCTTTAGGGATTCTACATTAATGACTGATTCTCTAGCTGCTGCTATTAGACATTTAATTTCATACAACCAAAACATGATTGACCTAGTCATATAAAAGCAATATAGCTATATGAAATATTTCTTTTATGTTTTATTTTGTTATTATTATTATTATTACTATTTTAATTCACCAGAGAGAGAGAGAGGGAAAGTGAAAGAGCAAACTGCCAGGTCCTGGACTAGAATCAAGGTTGGCCATGTGGGGAGTCCAGCATTTTAACCACCATGTCACCTGCTTCCCTGAAAGATTTTTTTAACTCAAAGTTCTTTCCCAGTGATGAACATAATGACAAAAATAACATTTCTTTTACATATTAATCAAACATCTCTGTGATCAGAAATCAAACCTTAAGAGAGTTTTAAGTACGTAATGAAATGTGAATCCAAAAAGGAGAGAGAATAAGAAGAAAAAAAAAATGAAACTTACACACTTAGTTAGTCCCAAAGAAAGTGTAACTCAGGGTCCTGTTAAACTTATAATTAAGTTATACAAACATAGCCTCAAGTTTTATGCCTGTTCTACAAGAAAATCTAGTCATGCTCTTCTTACATTCATCTTCCTGTACCCTGGGGCAAAATCTAACTTTTTTTTTTTTTTTTTTTTTTTAGGGAGATTTTTGCTATAGGGTGTATGTACTTACCAGAGAGACAGAGACAGAGAGAGAGAAAGTAAGACATCACCCCCCCCAGGGAGAATGGCCATGCTGCAATCCCTTCTCGTCAATTCTCCCCTCGGGATTTTGGGCACGCACACACATGGATCCAGCATGAGTTTTAAGCCGCCGGGGTACAAGACTCGAACTGCAGTCAACTATGTGAGAGTCCAGCAACATAACCATTATGCCATCTGCTGGTCCCAATAATATCTAGTTTTTATTGCCTTCTTCTAACTAGATAGAAGCAGACTAATTTCAAGTCTTCCATTCCAAAGGGGAAAGGGTTCCTTAGGACTAAATATGGGGGGGACCAGCAGTAGCGTAATGGCTATGTCACTGGACTCCCATGTAGTCGACCACGGTTCGCATCCCAGACCTTGTGGCTTAAAACTCACGCCGGGCGTGTGTGCGTGTGTGCCCAAGATCCCAAGAGGAGAATGGAGGAGAAGGGATTGCGGCGTGGCCATCCCCCCTGGGGGTGATTTCTCACTTTCTGTCTCTCTCTCTCTCTCTGTCTGGCGAGCACACGTGCCCTATAGCAAAAAAAAAAAAAAAAAAAATTCTCAAAAAAAACTACCTAAATATGGAGGAGATACTGGTAATAATATGAGGTCTTCAGTAAAATATTAGCTTTACTGACTTTCAATAAGGAAGCCCTTACTGTGTTTGTGGAAAAGGGACCGAAGCTTCAGTCTTCTGTCAGTTTTGTAGTGCTACAAACCACACACTAGTCACTGACATGTAAACTCTAATACAAAATACTTGAAGTTCATTTATCGTTCCACAAATATTTACTATATGAACCCAAGACAGGGCTAGGCAACAGTAAACAAGAAAGACACTATCTCTGTCCTTGTGGGGCTTAACGATTCATTTTATAAAAGTACTTAGCATTTAGCTTTTTACCTGTGCATCATAAATCCGATGCATAGCTTGATACAACTGGTTCATATAGTTGGAAATAGCTGTAGCATCTTCTTCAAACACACCCAGTAAAGACCTTGTCTGTATAAAATAAAAGCAGTAAGTTTGTGTTAATCATTATATAAATCCGATGGAAAACATTTTTTCTACAAGAAGCAAAAATCCCAAGATACTGGAGCTCTAGTAATTCTGCATTTTAATCTATTTTCTCTCTTTTGATGGTATTGCCAAGAAGTCAGGGTTTTTTGTTCTCAGTTTCACTTCCTTAAAGTAGAGGTATTTTCCAGCTATGTCACACAAACTTCAGAAGGAACAACAGAGGTATATTTTTATGAATTAAAAAGTCTATAATTGGGGCCAGCAGATGGAGTGGTGGTGAAGGTGCTAGATTCCCACATAGATGACCACCATTCCAGTCCCAGACCCGATGTCTTGAAAATCACATCAGGTATATGTGCATCTGTGTTCAAAATCTGGAGAGGAGAATGGAAAGAAGGGACGGCAGTGTGGCCATCCCCTGAGGGGGGTGATTTCTCATTTTCCCTCTCACTGTCTCTCCAGTGCCCTATTGCAAAACCTAAAAAAAAAAAAAAAGAAAAAGAACTAACTAGGTTTTTCTGAGTGTAGCATTTAGGATTTTTTTCCCTTTTTCTTTATACATTTCCACTTCATTTGACTTCTTAATTTTTATTAAAACAGGTAAAACCTATCTTCATTTTAAGGGAGAAAAATGTATCACTAACAAACGTTAAGAAAGGTCAATAAAGGTCAACCTCATACCACAGTAGCTAAGGGAGCTGGAGCCCACATGACCAAGTGCATTTCGAATCCCAGTCTAGGAGCTTGAAAAACACACCGGGCTCATGTGTGTACATGCCCCAAATCCCCACAGGATGGAGAAATAGGGGATAAGGCATTGCAGCATGACCATGCCCCATGGGAGTGATTTCTCCTTCCCTCATCCCCTCTCTTCCTCCCTCTTTAGTGAGCTTAAAGCACTCTCTGGCAGTAAAAGAGACAGAGGGAGAATATCAATACAAATTACAAAATAAAAGATTCAATTTACCAAAGGCAAGGTGCTCAACATTTTATATCCCAAGGGCAAGGAAAAATTAAAATACTAACAACTACTGAGCTTAAAATCTGAAAGAAGGGGGCTGGCAGGTGGCATGGTGGTTAAGGGTGCTGGACTCCCATGTGGCCAACCACAGTACGAATCCTGGACCTGTCAGCTTGCTTTCTCCCTTTCCCTCTCTCTCTCTCTCTCTCTGGTCAAATTAAAATTTTTTTTTGGAGAGGTTTTCACTATAGGGCGCGTTGCGCTCGCCAGACAGAGAGAGACATAGAGACAGAAAGCAAGAAATCACCCCCCCAGAGGGGATGGTCATGCCGCAATCCCTTCTCCTCCATTCTCATCCTGGGATCCTGGGCACACACGCACACACGCCCACACGCCCGGCATGAGTTTCAAGCCACCGGATCCAGGACGTGAACCGCAGTCAACCACGTGGGAGTCCAGCGACATAGCCACTACGTAACTGCTGGTTCCTGAGATGATCCTATATATTGATTCTAAAAAAAAATTTATGCCTCAGCATTAGAAATTGGTTTCTTAAAAAGAAAAAAAAAAAAATTTTATTCCGGGGACCAGCAGGTGGCATGGTGGCTGAGGTGCTGGATTCCCACATGATCAACCATGGTTCAAGTCCTAGACCAGGCAGCTTGCTTTCTCACTCTCCCTTTCTCTCTGTCTGTCTGTCTCTGGTCAAAACTGCAGAAAAATAATAAAAAAAATTTTTTTAATCTTAAAAAAAAAAAAAACCACTTATTCCTTAGTTTCCTCCTCCTACAGGAGGATGCTAAATCAATATAGTATAAAAGGGAAAAAAGAGCATAAGATTATTATGCCAGTATATGAAGTCAACTTTTTCAATTCTCTGCCTCCCAAGGCCTCAGAAATTAAGATCTGACGAGTCTTTTTCACTTTAGTGCTCCAAGCCCACTCCCCGACTTGATATTTGAAGATATAAAAAGTGAAAGCATCAGGAAATCTTGTTTGACTAGTTCCATTCTTAAGAAAAATCTGTCATTTTTTTTCCCAAAAATGAATCATTCCAATTCAAGGAATTACACATTAATGTAAAACCTTGCAGTATAAATTAAATAACTTTTAGCTCAAAATGGGATTGAAATATTTTGTCCCTATTTAAATCTAGTAATATAAAGTTCAGCACTGCTTAATTGTTTAAGTTAGCAGATTACAAAACCAGAGTCAATATGGTACCATTTCACTGACTATATCGATGGTATCCATTGTAAGATGTGCATGCCTTTTTTTTTTTTTTGGACAGGTTTTTTGCTATAGGGCGTGTACGCTCGCCAGACAGACAGACAGAAAGCGAGAAATCACTCCCCAGGGGGGATGGCCACACCGCAATCCCTTCTCCTCCATTCTCTCGGGATCTTGGGCACACATGCATACGCGCCCGGTGTGAGTTTTAAGCCACCGGGTCCAGGACATGAACCGCAGTCGACTACATGGGAGTCCAGCGACATAGCCATTACGCTAACTGCTGGTCCCTACTTTTATTTTTTTAAGAGAAATTTTTGCCATAGGGCACATGCACTCGCTGTAGAGACAGAGAGTTTTAAGCCACCATAAATTTTAAGCCACCAGGTCCAGGAATCAAACTGCAATCGACCATGTGGAAGCCCAGGAATGTAAGCATTACGCCATCTGCTGGTCCCATACCATTTTTAAAAATTATTTATTTAATTTTATTTATTAATTTTATTTTAATTTGACCAGAGAGAGAGAGAGAGAGAGGGAAAGTGAGAAAGGAAGCCACCAGGTCCAGGACACTAACTGTGTTCTGCCATGTAGGAGTGTCCAGCTCCTCAACCACCAAGCCACCTGGGGCCCCCCCATACCGTTTTTATATACTACTAAAACAAAACAGTGTTGGCAATTACACTATAAGGTTTTCATGTATCTTAAATTTATATTTATGGCGAGACCAGCAGGTGGCACGGTGGCTAAGGCGCGGGACACTCCCACATGGCCAACCAGGGTTCAAGTCCTGAATCTGATGGCTTGCTTTCTCCTTTCCTTTCTCACTCTCAACCTCTGTCTCTCTCTGGTCAAATTAAAAAATAAATGAATGAATAAATAAATAAAATAAAAATAAATAACTTAAAAAAAGTTATATTTATGGAACAGATTTTCAGAGAATTTTATCATTTATAGTTCTCATGCAATTACAAAAAGGAAAATGCAACCAGCATTAAGTTTAATATATTTTAAAACTTTTTCAGAGTTCAAGTTTTATAAATCACTTTTTGATTCAGTCATCAATATTCAGGTTTTCTCAGTGCCATGAGGAGGTGACAAGTATTTCTTAGAAGTGCTCTACTTTGTCCCTAGTATTTTCCTCTAAGCCACAGACATTTGTTCAACAAGTTCTTTTTTTAACAGTTTTTTGTTTCCCTTAGGATATGTGCACTCGCTGGAGAGAGAGACAGAGAGAGTGAGAGCAAAAGTGAGAAATCACCCCCTGCTCCCAGGGGAGGTGGCCACACTACAATCTCTTCTCCTCCAATCTCCTCCTGAGATCTCAGGCACACACACACGTGCCCCATGTGACTTTGAAGTCACTGGGTCCAGGACTGAACCATGGGCGGCCATGTGGGAGTCCAGCGACATAATTGCTATGCCATCTGCTGGCCCCTCATTCAGTAAGTTTTGACAAAGGAACTTGCTTTATCTTGCCGGGTGAGATGACTCAAATAGGACTGACACTCCCCCTTAAATGGCTATTAAATGGATCTGTTGGATGAATGCTAAGAAGATGCACTGGGCCAGTGTGTCACTAGGAAAAACAGCAAAGTATATAATTTGCAGGCACCGTTAATTAACATAATTACAGCTGACAGCAACAGGTAAGGTACCATCAATTCTAAAGAGAATCCCAGAGTTGTTAAAATATTGATATAAGAAAGAAGTCATGTCTCATCATCTTTTAGTATTTCATGTTATGCAAACAAAGAGCTTCCATTTGGGTTTTGTCTTCACCATTCTACCATGAATGAATCATTAAATATTTATCTGCACATCAAATCAATTACTTTTGTAGAGATCACACCTGTATTTAGTAACAAGTTTTATTGTAATTCTGATTTTCAAAACCATTTATAAACATGGACAAGGCATCTAGTGTAAGCACAAATTTTTTCTCAATTAATTATTTAATTTATTCATTCATTTATTTTAATTTGACCAGAGAGAGACACACAGAGAGAGAGAGAGATGGAAAGTGAGAAAGCAAGCCACAGGTTCAAGACTTGAACCACAGTTTGCCATGTGGGAATGTCCAGGGCCTTAATACCATGCCACCCACTGGCCCAAGCATGTTTTTACCTCAATGTATGATCTCTTGCAGAATGAAGTTGTTTGGACAAGATAATTCTAAAGATCCTTAAGTTTGATCAGCGGGCTATAGATTTGCAAAGTCCCCTATTTTAATACCTAGTTACTGTAGATCAAAACTAAAAAACAGGTAACTGTAATTCAGCATAACTTTGGTGACTCCCAAACTCTAACCTTCTTACACAGCAACTGGCAGTTTGCCTTTGGTTACGATCAAATGATCTAATAAAAAGCATAACTATATCAGAAGTTCTAAGTTTTCATATTCTTTTTTACTCTACTTTTTATATTCTGTCCTAAATAGTCCAAACTGAGAACAAATCTTTTATGCCCAAAAGCAATCGTTTCAGCCTACTTATAACACTGAAGAAACTCTAAAAGTTCAACAATGGGTTACCTGTAAATCAGTTAAAGAAATGTGCAGTCTTCAATTTTTAAAATTCAGAATGTAGTAACATGTGAGCATACTTAAGCTATAATGTTAAGTACAAGTGGGATAAAAATCGTTATGCACAATATAATCTCAATTACATTATATTATGTAGAATGAAAAAACAAACTAGAATAAATCAAGTAGACTGTTAATAGGGCCTGCTGGATGCTCCACATGTAATTGTGTGTATGTGTATTTTTGTGTGTCTTCCTATTTTTGTAA